GTTCACCCCATATAATGATAAACTCGTAACAATATGTTGGGAACCACCACTTTCGGTGTTGAACTCCTATCGATATGTTGAAGACAACTCCTTTTTTTGTTGGACTTTAACCGATGTGTTGAGGACCACCGCATTTGGCGTTGAACTCAACTAATGTTTTGAGGTTCACCCCATATAATGATAAACTTGTAAAACTGTGTTGAGGTCCACTGTATTTGGTGTTGAACTCGTTGAGGACCACCGCTTTTGGTGTTGAACTCCACTCGATGTGTTGAGGACCACCGCTTTCGGTGTTGAACTCCTATCGATGTGTTGAGGGCCACCGCTTTCGGTGTTGAACTTGTTTAGGACCACCACTTTCGGTGTTGAACTTGTTGAGGACCACCACTTTCGGTGTTGAACTCCTATCGATATGTTGAAGACAACTACTTTTTTTGTTGGACTTTAACCGATGTGTTGAGGACCACTGTATTTGGTGTTGAACTCAACTAATGTTTTGAGGTTCACCCCATATAATGATAAACTCGTAACAATATGTTGGGAACTACCACTTTCGGTATTGAACTCCTATCGATATGTTGAAGACAACTCCTTTTTTTGTTGGACTTTAACCGATGTGTTGAGGACCACCGCATTTGGCGTTGAACTCAACTAATGTTTTGAGGTTCACCCCATATAATGATAAACTTGTAAAACTGTGTTGAGGTCCCCTGTATTTGGTGTTGAACTCGTTGAGGACCACCGCTTTTGGTGTTGAACTCCACTCGATGTGTTGAGGACCACCGCTTTCGGTGTTGAACTCCTATCGATGTGTTGAGGGCCACCGCTTTCGGTGTTGAACTTGTTGGGGACCACCACTTTCGGTGTTGAACTCCTATCGATATGTTGAAGACAACTACTTTTTTTGTTGGACTTTAACCGATGTGTTGAGGACCACTGTATTTGGTGTTGAACTCAACTAATGTTTTGAGGTTCACCCCATATAATGATAAACTTGTAAAACTGTGTTGAGGTCCACTGTATTTGGTGTTGAACTCGTTGAGGACCACCGCTTTTGGTGTTGAACTCCACTCGATGTGTTGAGGACCACCGCTTTCGGTGTTGAACTCCTATCGATGTGTTGAGGGCCACCGCTTTCGGTGTTGAACTTGTTTAGGACCACCACTTTCGGTGTTGAACTTGTTGAGGACCACCACTTTCGGTGTTGAACTCCTATCGATATGTTAAAGACAACTACTTTTTTGTTGGACTTTAACCGATGTGTTGAGGACCACAGTATTTGGTGTTGAACTCAACTAATGTTTTGAGGTTCACCCCAAATAATGATAAACTCGTAACAATATGTTGGGAACCACCACTTTCGGTGTTGAACTCCTATCGATATGTTGAAGACAAATACTTTTTTTGTTGGACTTTAACCGATGTGTTGAGGACCACTGTATTTGGTGTTGAACTCAACTAATGTTTTGAGGTTAACCCTATATAATGATAAACTCGTAACAATATGTTGGGAACCACAACTTTCGGTGTTGAACTCCTATCGATATGTTGAAGACAATTACTTTTTTGTTGGACTTTAACCGATGTGTTGAGGACCAATTGTATTTGGTGTTGAACTCAACTAATGTTTTGAGGTTCACCCCATATAATAATAAACTTGTAAAAATGTGTTGAGGTCCAATGTATTTGGTGTTGAACTCGTTGAGGACCACCGCTTTTTTGTTTTGAACTCACTCGATGTGTTGAGGACCACCACTTTCGGTGTTGAACTCCTATCGATGTGTTGAGGGCCACTGCTTTCGGTGTTGAACTTGTTGAGGACCACCACTTTCGGTGTTGAACTTGTTGAGGACCACCACTTTCGGTGTTGAACTCCTATCGATATGTTGAAGACAACTACTTTTTTTGTTGGACTTTAACCGATGTGTTGAGGACCACTGTATTTGGTGTTGAACTCAACTAATGTTTTGAGGTTCACCCCATATAATGATAAACTCGTAACAATGTGTTGGGAACCACCACTTTCGGTGTTGAACTCCTATAGATACGTTGAAGACTACTACTTTTTTTGTTGGACTCTAACCGATGTGTTGAGGACCACTGTATTTGGTGTTGAACTCAACTAATGTTTTGAGGTTCACCCCATATAATGATAAACTCGTAACAATATGTTGGGAACCACCACTTTCGGTGTTGAACTCCTATCGATATGTTGAAGACAACTACTTTTTTTATTGGACTTCAACTGATGTGTTGAGAACCACTGCATTTGGCGTTGAACTCAACTAATGTTTTGAGGTTCACCCCATATAGTGATAAACTTGTAAAAATGTGTTGAGGGCCAATGTATTTGGTGTTGAACTCGTTGAGGACCACCGCTTTTGGTGTTGAACTCCATGCGATGTGTTGAGGACCACCGCTTTCGGTGTTGAACTTGTTGAGGACCACCACTTTCGGTGTTGAACTTGTTGAGGACCACCACTTTCGGTGTTGAACTCCTATCGATGTGTTGAGGGCCACCGCTTTCGGTGTTGAACTTGTTGAGGACCACCACTTTCGGTGTTGAACTTGTTGAGGACCACCACTTTCGGTGTTGAACTCCTATCGATATGTTGAAGACAACTACTTTTTTATTTGGACTTTAACCGATGTGTTGAGGACCACTGTATTTGGTGTTGAACTCAACTTATGTTTTGAGGTTCACCCCATATAATGATAAACTCGTAAAAATGTGTTGAGGTCCACTGTATTTGGTGTTGAACTCGTTGAGGACCACCGCTTTTGGTGTTGAACTCCACTCGATGTACTGAGGACCACCGCTTTCGGTGTTGAACTCCTATCGATGTGTTGAGGGCCACCGCTTTCGGTGTTGAACTTGTTGAGGACCACCACTTTCGGTGTTGAACTTGTTGAGGACCACCACTTTCGGTGTTGAACTCCTATCGATATGTTGAAGACAGCTGCTTTTTTTGTTGGACTTTAACCGATGTGTTGAGGACCACTGTATTTGGTTTTGAACTCAACTAATGTTTTGAGGTTCACCCCATATAATGATAAACTCGTAACAATATGTTGGAACCACAACTTTCGGTGTTGAACTCCTATCGATATGTTGAAGATAACTACTTTGTTTGTTGGACTTTAACCGATGTGTTGAGGACTACTGTATTTGGTGTTGAACTCAACTAATGTTTTGAGGTTCACCCCATATAATGATAAACTCGTAACAATATGTTGGGAACAGCCACTTTCGGTGTTGAACTCCTATCGATATGTTGAAGACAACTACTTTGTTTGTTGGACTTTAACCGATGTGTTGAGGACCACTGCATTTGGCGTTGAACTCAACTAATGTTTTGAGGTTCACCCCATATAGTGATAAACTTGTAAAAATGTGTTGAGGGCCAATGTATTTGGTGTTGAACTCGTTGAGGACCACCGCTTTTGGTGTTGAACTCCATGCGATGTGTTGAGGACCACCGCTTTCGGTGTTGAACTTGTTGAGGACCACCACTTTCGGTGTTGAACTTGTTGAGGACCACCACTTTCGGTGTTGAACTCCTATCGATATGTTGAAGACAACTACTTTTTTATTTGGACTTTAACCGATGTGTTGAGGACCACTGTATTTGGTGTTGAACTCAACTTATGTTTTGAGGTTCACCCCATATAATGATAAACTCGTAAAAATGTGTTGAGGTCCACTGTATTTGGTGTTGAACTCGTTGAGGACCACCGCTTTTGGTGTTGAACTCCACTCGATGTGTTGAGGACCACCGCTTTCGGTGTTGAACTCCTATCGATGTGTTGAGGGCCACCGCTTTCGGTGTTGAACTTGTTGAGGACCACCACTTTCGGTGTTGAACTTGTTGAGGACCACCACTTTCGGTGTTGAACTTGTTGAGGACCACCACTTTCGGTGTTGAACTCCTATCGATATGTTGAAGACAGCTGCTTTTTTTGTTGGACTTTAACCGATGTGTTGAGGACCACTGTATTTGGTTTTGAACTCAACTAATGTTTTGAGGTTCACCCCATATAATGATAAACTCGTAACAATATGTTGGAACCACAACTTTCGGTGTTGAACTCCTATCGATATGTTGAAGATAACTACTTTGTTTGTTGGACTTTAACCGATGTGTTGAGGACTACTGTATTTGGTGTTGAACTCAACTAATGTTTTGAGGTTCACCCCATATAATGATAAACTCGTAACAATATGTTGGGAACAGCCACTTTCGGTGTTGAACTCCTATCGATATGTTGAAGACAACTACTTTGTTTGTTGGACTTTAACCGATGTGTTGAGGACCACTGCATTTGGCGTTGAACTTAACTAATGTTTTGAGGTTCACCCCATATAATGATAAACTCGTAACAATAAGTTTCGGACAACCACATTCGGTGTTGATGCATCATATCATACCATTCTGCTATTTCCTCACTAACTTGATCCCAGGCTACAATAAGATAAGACCCTGCATAACTACAGTACTACAGTAGCAAAACTTTCTTTATCAAACACAAGCTTTTTATTACTGTCCTTTTATGATAACAATCACTTAGGTTACTTTAAATTTAAAAAAAAAATTCAAATGGACATAAAATGGTGTTAGTTAATGAATGTGTGAACCTAAGAAACAAAGTAGCCTACTTTAGCAACCATTTTACAGTAATGATGAAAAATATATTAATCTGCTGTTTTCCTACAAAACCAGCCAAAATTTCACCATTAAAGTTTTCAAATTGCATTGCATTGAGCAAACGCTGACTTATGGCTATATAACTTGAATTTTTTTTTAATGGCTGCTTCTGTGTTAACAATAATACATTATTTTACATAAATGAAAATTGTGGTCACAGTATTCTAAAAATAAAATATAAGTACACAATTTAGTACACAAACAGTATAAAAGTGATAAATAAAATGTGCAAATGTTTTGATAATACTTTCATAGTGATCAAGATTTATATTTACAACAAAATATACAGGTATACATAATTGACATTTTTTATTTAAAAATTAATATGGAATTGTATGTTGAACTTAATAAACTATGATGTATAGACCTAGTAAATTTTAAATAAATATGTATAAATATATATATATATATGATATATTTCTGGATTTATTATAAAAATCAAATAAAAATTTACCATTTTAAAAAATTTAAGTAGAATTTTTGTATAAAAATAATTTTAAAAAAATTATAGCAGCTCTGGGCAATACTAAAATTGATTTCTACATGTAAAAAATGATTATTATAAATTATTATGTGGCTTTATACCAATGTAGGTGACACATCAAGTCACATATTTGACTGTTAATCTGTTAATTTGAGGACAAATTTAATCAGAAATATCAATATGTAATTTATGTATGGTTCATGAGGTAAGAAATATCTGTAAGTACATTATTTGTGGTTTTAGAAATATATTTCAAAATGTAAAATATATTTTAAAAAATAATTATTATTGAGCAATTTGGGAAAACTTACCAAGTTCTAAAACATTGGGTTCACAACAAAAAGATAATAATATGGATATTATGCATTTCTTAAAATGATGAACATTTCCTATACCCTGTATACAATTAAACAAGATTGGCATCTTTAGCCATTCCATAAAACAAAGAACTTTTGTTCTCTAGCAGGTTGGCTGGTGAATCCATTTCTTTTATCTCACCTTGGTCTAGCACCATGATCCTGGCAATAACAAAAATTTTGCAATCATTAATTTATCAGTCACAATCAATAATTTAATAAACAGTTCACAATGAGAAACATAAAAGTTTACTATCACAATTTAAGAAACAATTTAAAATCAATAATTTAAAAAACAGTTCACAATCAATAATTAAGCAAACAGTTCACAAAGCATAAATAGTGCCGAGATTATTACTAAAGCTATGATTTTAATTACACAAAATATGATTTAGTCAAATTCATTAAATAGTTTTAAATCCTTTTGTTTTATCCCCAAAAAGAAAATTTCTAAATTAGACTTAAAATTTTATAAGAACTGCAAAGTTAATATTTAATGTTACTTTATGGCAAGCTTTACAATGAAAATGGATTAGAATAGATTATTTTTCTTAATCCATGATCTTAATAAAAATTAATAGACTACTAACCTGTCATAGTCCATGATAGTGTTGAGTCTGTGGGCAATGGTAAGCACAGTGCAGTCCTTGAACTCTGTCCTAATTGTCTTCTGTATAAGGTCATCAGTTTCCATATCAACAGCTGCAGTAGCTTCATCCAGCACTAAAATTTTGGTTTTACGAAGTAGAGATCTGGCTAGACAAACAAGCTGCCTTTGGCCCACACTGAAAAAAAATATCATTTAATTAAATTTTTTTTTTTACAAATTATTATAGAACGTTCCAGGAGATAAATGTTGTCTTTGTTTTTAATTTCAATCTGAAGAAACTGATTATATTATAATATAGTACTTTTAAAACAAGATGATTCAAGCTTTTAATGTGCTGAAACAATATCAGACATACTAGAAATAGTGTAAGATACATTGGATTTCTAAAATAAAATTAAATATAGCAACTTTTACAAGAATAAAACATGTACATTGCAAATATGTCAAAGAAAATTTTTAAAACTACTTTCATAAGTATCCTTCTACTACTGTAAAGCATGCTTTCAGACCTGATGGGCTGAAGAAGCAGAGTTCATCTTTTACTGTGACCTTGGCATACAAAGGGAAAGAGTGGTCGTTAGGCCTACAGTGTCTCACTACCTTTACTGCCCGCTACTAATGGCAGGTACATGCAAGAGCTGGGTCTCAGAGATGTCCTATGGTTTTAACCCTTCTATTTGATCTTATGACTTTCTGGTTAGCATTTCATGGCTTTATTGGAGGGTTCTCACTACTTTACTGTTGGCTAGTCTTTTCTATTAATCCAGCACTCACCTTTGGTAATTTGAAATATTACGTTAACTAACTCAATATTCACCTCATTAAACTTAAACAAACTTTACTTAAGGGCATGGACGAGTGATGAAAACCAAAATATTCTAAATGCTAATTTCTAAACGTGCTGCTATAATATTTAGCATATAGTTATGACTCAAAGAGTTTAGTCTAAAAATTAAAAACAAAATGGACAAAAATTTCATGTTTAAAGCAATGTGCTTACTAGAAGCAAAGATCAAAATATTTAATCATCTTTTAAAAAAATAATCACAAGTTCTAAGCCTTTTGTTTTCACTGACCTTAAGTTTTGCCCCCCTTCTCCACATTCATAAGACAATCCACCTGGAACTTCCTCCACAAATGTTTTCAGGTGAGCGTGTTCAAGAGCTTGCCATATCATGGCATCAGAGTAGGAATCAAAGGGGTCAAGGTTCATGCGCAGTGTGCCAGAAAATAAGACAGGATCCTGCGAGGGTTGAAGAGTACAAAATGTTAATGTCAGTAGGGCAGTCACATGATTGATATAAGGAGAAAATAGTATTGGGGCTTGTTGGGTTTATGGTACAAATCATTCATTTTTGTTGGATATTCACATAATTGAAATAAAAAGAAAATAATACTGGATCATTGATGGGTAAAATAATTACAAAAATAATTAATTTTTCATAAATCATTCTTTTAATTTTCAATTAATGTAGCAGGCTCCTAACATGAAATAAATATCACACAAAATTCTATAAGCTTCTCTTTGTTTTTTTTAATTCAAACAAAGGTCTATGCAAAAAAAACATTTAGTTGTTTGTTCAAGTTTTTTCATGACACTTTTGTAAAATATTTTTGGTTATTTATTGTTAAAAAAAATAAAAGGTAGCAAACCTGTGGTAAAATGGTGATCTTTGACCTGAGGTCATGCAGCCCTATGTCACTAATGCTGGTGTTGTCTATCACAATGCTACCACTGGCAGCTTCAATCAAGCGGAACAACGCAACTGTCATTGAAGATTTTCCAGCTCCTGTTCTGCCAACAATACCCACCTACAAAAATTTGTAGAATTTATTTACTGACAACATGTTAATGGTCATTTTTTTTTTTTAAATAAAGCCTACTTAAAATGTAAACAATTATATGTTCCACAGAAATAAGATTTAAAGTGTTAAACTAAGGTGCCAATTGCAAATTCAGAAAAACAAACTCAGGACAAGCTATATCTTATCTACAAAAAAAAAGCATGTTATAAAACAAGTCAAAACCATCTTTAGAAAAAATAGGAATACAAAAAGAAATAAAAACAGAAGAAAAGCTTATACCTTTTCGCCACCCTTGATCTCACAGCTAAGACCTTTCAACACCAAATCTAAACCAGGTCGGTACCTGGTCTTGTAGTTGATAAAACTAACTGCACCTTCTTGGGGCCAACTGGCCAGTGGCCGCCTAAATGGGTTAATCCAAGCAGCCTGCAGTCAATAAATGAAAATAATCACATTATTTGTGTTAAAATTTTTAAAATTGATGTCGGAAATTTTAAGTTGCTCAGTGACAACCACCTGAAGTCTTAAGTAAAAGATCAACTTTTAATTGCATTGGCTCAGTTGGCTGAAAAGGACTCAACATTATTGTTGACAAGGGCCAAAAATGTGTTTTTGTACAATCCTCTAAGGAGTCTTATTTAGTGTAAAATATTAAAACAAAGGATAAAAAAATAACGAAATTTCATATTTTAAAAATCAATATAAAATTTCACATGTAGACAGTTAACTTAAAAAAAATGTGTTGACTACAACCTATATTTCTTTTGACAAATAATATGATATACTAAACAGACCATACTGTGATAGGCTGTTAATTAACCAAGGCTATCCATTTACTTGTGCTTTATATATATCTCTCTCTGTAGTGGTAAATGTTTATACTTTTGAATGTCAGCATGATCTAGCTAAGGCTAGTTTGTTGTCTTTTTAACTCCATTACAAAAAGGAGACAAGTTAAAACAGAAAATATTTCACATTGATTTCAAATTTTGTTTTGTTGGCAAAAATACTGATTACAGAAAATAGGGCCTACATCACCAAATCATGTTAAATAATCACATTTTTTAAAATAAATTTACTCATTTAAAATAAAATTACTTTCCACCTTGAGTTTTCTAAGCCGATAAAATTTAGAATAATTTGAATTAAAAAATCAATAAAAATTAATGTTAATTTTAAAAATAAATTGACTTAAAAAAAAAGGAAACACCAATATTTTATAACAAGTCAGAAAATTAATTTTTAAAATGTCAGACGTCAGAAGTCAATACTGTAAATATAATTATAAAAAAACAGATTTAAAATGTCTAACCTCTGATGGAGTCTCTGTGTATTCTTTGATCCTTTCCACAGCTACAATGTTTGTTTCTAGGTCAGAGGTCATTCTCACCATCCAGTTCAACCCACCAGTAACCTGTGACAAAAATATTTTTACTACAGAAAACTAAAGGGGAAATCAATGCTACATTCATTTAAACAGTAGAAAATAGCGTGCATTTAAATAACAACCAACAACTGATAGACTTCACAAGCAATGTTTTGAAACTTTTAAAATCAACTTTAAGTGATCTTAGACTTGTGTGGCAGGTAACAACAAACTTCATTACCTGCAGAGCATAAGAGACAGAGAGTCCCACCAAACTAGCACTGATATCTTCTGAGACCACAGCAAACATAGCAGCAGCCAGCACCACAATGTTACCAAGGAACTCCAGCCTAGTAGCCAGCCATCTGGGGAAATAAATCACTTGAAATAAATTTTAGTTTACAATGTTTTTCCAAAAAAAATTTAGGTTTATTTGGAAAAATTTAGGTTTACCGGTAAGTAGTACTTTACACTATTTCTGATTTCTTAAAAAAACACAAATAAATTTATAAAGTACTAGTATTCTGCACTATTATACAAAAGTTTGCTGTTCGTTTTTCTACGAGATTCTATTATGTTTAAATCATTAAAAAAGGATTAAAAATCATGTCTATATCCAGAGTTGCCATCCCCTTAGTGTTAAATAAGTGTATTCAAGAAAGTCTAGTGGAATTCACCGCCTTTTTTTAAAATTTTGAAATGAAGTACAAAATAAATTATGGATCATGTGAAGAAAGATATCACTGTAGCTGACCTGTTGGATGCAATCCCACCAAAGTAGAAGACCAGATTTTTATCCACTCTTTTCTGTGACTCCTCTTTAAATCTTGTTGTGGCTTTATAAGCTCTAGAATGTTGGTTAAAAAGAATAACATTTTAATTCACTAAAACATTTTGATTTAAATTCACATTGCTCCAAATATGAAATTATTTTTTAATAAATCCAGCTAATATAGTTTCTTAGAAATATTTAAAAACAATAAACAAAAATAAATTTAACTAGCAAATGTATGTAAAATGTTAGGTAAAATTGACAACCATAAATAAAATATTTACAAGTAAATGTGACTACCTGATAGAAGCTGCCCCAGTGATGGTCTCACTGAAGTGGGTGAAGATGGGGGATCTTGTGGTGGACTCAATACGTTTTAACTGTCTGGATGTTGGGATGTAGAACCTCTAGAGCACACAGAATGTTGTTATTAGTTTGGGTTATTATTGTTATAAAATTAAACTTTACAAGACCAATACATTTTTAATAAAATTCCATATCATTAAATTATTAAATTATTAAATTAAATGTTTAATGTATTATGCTCTACAAAGAATGAAAAATACAATTGATTTAGCCCTATCATGCTTAACATTCTTTGTAGTATCTGGATGAACAACTTTAAATGTACTTTTTAATAGCAAATGAAACTGATTTATTTTTTAAAAATTACATTTTTTTTTTAAATTACAAAATTTTCAATATAATCATAGATGAATTTCAAATTTACATTGTACTTGTAAATTTAAAACGGATGCAAATTTTAGAAGGAAGACTCTCGATTAAAATATTTTAATTTATTAAAAAACTTTGAATGTTAAAATATGTCAAGATTTTATAAGTCATGCAACTTCAGTAAATGAATGTCAAATTTAAACAACTATACCAATCAATCAAGCAGTTTTTAATTAGTTCAAATTAACAAAGTTACAAGCTGAACTAATATGACACTACCTGAACAAGATAGTACAGTATTCCAACAGGCAGAATGACCACCATGAAAATGGGTGTGCTGTAGCTGACAACGATGATGGTGCTGATGGTACCAAAGAAGGTGTTCATCCAGCTCCTGAAGAGCTGGGGCAGGGTGTTGTCCACTGTCTCGACATCACCAGAGAACCTGTTCACCACTCGACCTGAGGGAGTGGTGTCAAAGAAGGACATGGGAGATCGCAGGACATTTCCCAGCATGCCGTTGTGAAGGGATCCGGCAGCGCGCACCATGCGGATGGAGGCGATGATGGAGTAGAACAGGATGAGAATCGCTGCAAAGAAATTTAAATGGTATTTGTCTAATATTGTACATATGAGAAGCATTTAATTTTAAATATGATGAAAAAAATTCACGCCAAACAATATATTTTAGTAAACTATAAAATTTAGTAGCATGCACCAAACTTAGCATATGCCTGCACTAGCACATTCCCGCCCTAGCACATGCCAGCACTAACTCTAGTATGTGCCTCCTAACACACACAAATACTTCCACACTTATAATGGAGTTGATTTTTCTGTCATACAGTTATTCTTTTAATCATTCATCTTTGTCAACCCACAATTTACACCTTTATCACAAGTTATAAGAAAATGTAAAAAATAAATAAATTCTGAAACAAGCCATTAAGTATCTAATCTAATTATAGCACAAACTGTATGACTCTATTTAATTTTTTTTTTTAAGTATTCATATATAAAATAAAAGCACTGAGGTGAAAGTTGTTTTGCTTTACAAAAAAAAAAAAAAATTAAAACAAGAATTGCTTAGCTGAAGAACTGACCTTGTCCAGCTCCCAGTGCACCATAAACACCCAGATACAAGTCATTTCTATCCTGGTACTGGCTAGTGTTGGACAGTGATCTGTTGGTCAGGATGTCGTCTGCTGTCCACTCTGACAACCAGATACTGGAGTAAACATTGACCGCTTGGTAGCCAGCAAAAAATGTGAAGAAGAAAATGGTGGCAGCATAGCCAATAGCCTTGAAGTACACCAAGAAAACAGAGTACCTGACCTGTTGGGAAACAAAAATAGGTGATTAGATGAAGGTGATTTCTGTTACTTGGTTGTATTGGGATAAGGGAAAGAGAATATGTAAAGACAATTACTTTTGTTTTGTGTTTGGATAAGAGAACAAAAATAGGGATTTGTGAAGGTGATTTTTATTGCTTGGTAGTGTTGGGATGAGGGAACAAAAATAGGGATTTGTGAAGGTGATTTTTATTGCTTGGTAGTGTTGGGATAAGGGAACAAGTATGGGTGACATGCCAAGGTAATTACTTTAGTAAAGCCAGTAAAATAAGTCATTTGTGACTCTCATGTCAAAATACCCAGAGTCATTCTTTGGGAATTTCATAATTGTTGAAAAATTGACACATTTCATATTATATCACGAATGTCTAAATTCATGAACCAGCTTTTTTTTCACTTTGTGTCCAATGCAAAATAAAAGAAGTAATACTTAAGTTAGATATAGTTTTAAATAAAATAACATTTATTACAAAAACAGCAGACAGCATTATTTACCTTTCCTGTTTCTGTCTTTTCTTCCTCAGTGAGTTCTGTTCCAGGTTTAGATTTCTTTGTGTCTGTCTTGACCACTTCCTTCACATCTTTTTCTTTATGTGAGCTGGTCAAGTGTTTACTGATCTGCCTGGACAGTTTTCGTGGACTGCTGGAAAATGGAAGGCAGACATTAAGCTTGAAATTTTTTATACAATTGTAAGCAGATTTTACAGAAGCAAAAATGCATTGCTTTAAAATGGAAGGCGGTCAAAACATTTGAAAATTTTTTCTTGAAAAATATCCTTTTATGGAGAATGGAAGGCTAACTTTATAATAGCAAATAGTTTCTTCAAATGTTTGAGAAAGGGTTAAAATATTAGAAACTTTTTTTTTAAGTCTAGAGTGTGAACTAATACACATTTATTAATCTCAAAATAAACATTTTTAACATTAAGAGTAAATTTGTTAAAATTCTAGATTCTATGATTTTATTTCATTTTTAATATTCTTTGTTTTCATATTTGTACAGAATGAAAAGATTTGCAATACAAGACGTAAAAATATGCAATTCAGGAGAATAAAAATTGTAATGCTGAAAAACTATCCTTACAGAAATTAAACTAACGAAACAAATCACCTTCTTGTTTTTTCATCTCCAGAGGTCAAACCATCAGATGTAACAGTTTCAACTTTATCAAGGATTTGTGCTTTGATGGCGGCAACTGAAATAATGTTGATGTAATAACTACACATAATATTATTGAACTAAAAGCAGTAATCTGTAAGAGAAATACAGAGCGGATTTTAACGCATATTCAGATCCAAGATGGGGTATGATGAATAGGTGACCATGTCTAACAATGAAGTTATGTAACCAGTAAAAGCTAATCACAACTTTTTTCTTTCAGTTAAATTAAATTTGCATCTGTTCCACATATTTTACTGTAGGTATTCAAGTAAAATCTTTTTATATGTAACTTTTTCTGATTGCCCTCCTTTTTGAAAGAATGCTAGTCTTGAAAAAGCAAAAAAAAAAAGTTCCCTTTTCAAACCTGACGCTCCAAGGGGCAGGTGAAGTAGAGTTCACCTGTTTTTGTGATCTCCACATATGACGATAATAGTGTGGTCACCACTATGTCCAGCTGCCTTTACTTTCCCTAATGAGAATTAGATGCCCACCAGAGCTGGGTGGGCTCAGGGACATTCCACTGATTTTGAACCCGGATGCAAACTCTTGACATTTGAGTTGGCATCTAGCATTCTACCGATAGGCCACACCATCCCTATGTAGTCTTGTAGTCTGCAGTAAATGTCAACAAAGTCATGTGACATTTTTAGATGACACACATAGAGCCACTTACTCTCTGGATCATCAGCCTCCTCATCGTTCACCTCCTGTGTGAGGTAAGTCTTCAAAAACTGAGCAAACGGCCCGTCATGTGACAACAGCTGTTCATATGACCCGACCTCAGAGATTCTGCCATCTGTCATGACGACAATCTTGTCCACTTGAGGTAACCAGTGAACTCCATGTGTCACCAGTACACGAGTCTATAAAAGTTTAAAAAGTGTCACAGTACATGCGTCTACAGAAGTTTAAATAGTAAATCTTTGTCGCCAGTATACGAGTCTATAAAAGTTTTAAAAGTGTTACAGTACATATGTCTACAGAAGTTTTAAAAGTAAATCTGTGTCAACAGAACACAAGCTACACAATTTTACAAAATGAAATCTGTGCCATTGATGCAAGTATGTACACTATTTTTTAAATTTAACCCATTGTGTAATCAATTCACATACGTACACAATTTTTTAAAGTGAGCACCATGTGTCACTAGAATGTGTCTAAAAATGAAAAACCATAGTGAACTCTAAGTAATAGTACATTAATCTTATTATTTTAATAATTCCATATTTCAGTATTGAACTAGAACAGTAAAAAAAAAAGCAGTGTATACCTTATTTTTCAACAAGCCATTGTTTGATGAAATGACCTTTTCAAAAATATGTTTTCCAACATGTGAGTCAACAGCACTCAAAGGGTCATCTAACAAATAAATATCTGCATCACTGTAGACAGCTCGGGCCATTGAGACACGCTGTTTTTGGCCACCACTCAAGTTGATGCCCTGTTTAAAGATCAGTTGAAAATTTTATTTTAGCCTAAGTTGGTTGAATTATTTTGATTTTCTTTTTTATGCTAAAATCCAGCTGCCATTTTGATCATGCAAAAGTATAAAAATACATTTTGTATCATCTGATAAAGAAAGTAGGTAAAGTCTGATTTTCAAAGAAAAGAAAAAAAAATATTAATGCAACTCAGCACTAAATATAATACAAATTTTCTGTAGGTTTCCTGCCTTTTCACCAATCTCTGTCAAGTCTCCCCCAGGTAAAATCTCCAGGTCAGGTTTGAGGGCACAGGCCTCCAGTACTTCATCATAGACCTTGTGGTCCTCGTCTTTACCAAAGAGAACATTTTTCTTGAGTGTGGCATTCTGGATCCAAGCTTGTTGGGGTACATAGGCTATGCTGGACTGGAAGTCACAGGGTTAAAAGTTTAATCAAAGTAAGTAAATATTGTTCAAATCTCTGGAAATTTAGTTTTTGATTAAACTAATTAATAGGAGACCATTATCAGATAATTAAAAGTATTTTTAATACCTTCACAGTTACTTCTCCTTGCAGTTTCTCCATCTCTCCCAAAATGGCTGAAATAAGTGATGATTTCCCAGCACCAACTTGACCAACAACAGCTATCAACTGACCATCAGGTATAGAGAGGTTTATGCTGAAAAGAGTACAAGTAAAATAACTTTCAAACATACCACAGAGTTTCTAAATGTAGCTGGGTTCATTGTTCAGTCTGTCTAAATAAAGATTGCAATACATTTTTTTAATCAATTTCCTTTTGTTAAATCATGTTTAACTATCATTTTATTTTAAACTTTTAATATTTATATTTGTCACAGACTGTATTATTATGTATCTTTATTATATTGTGTTTTGCATGAATGAAGAGTACCTGGCTAGCGGAAGGACTGTCTGAGCGATCGTCATGTATTTTCCCATGCTTTTGGGTGAGATCGCTCATGTACGTAAGGGGAGAGAATAAAAGGGAGAGCAAAAGGTGAACGGGTGTTGTGTGCTAGGACTTGGGACTTGAACTGTGGCAGTGAATGTAAGATGTCTCCATGACTTGGAGTCGTGACTGTGACTGTACTTGTTGAGTATCTTCTAATATGGATTTACCATGAATAACTATGGATTTATCATTCTCACTGTATATAGTGTAAATAAAGTCATCATTTGAAGTTGCCACTATTGCTTGTATTCCTGTGTGAAAACTAACCCACAACAACAAAGAATTCATGTTGTTACATATGGTGTCAGAAGTGGGGGCAACAACAGTTGCTACATTGTGAGCGTCTACTACTACTGTTACATTGTCAGAAGCAATTGAAGAAGTGTTTCTACATTATTATCAGACGTGTTGATACATTGGAGTCAGGTGATTGAAGAAGCTGATACATTATTGTCAGAGATGGTCAACATTTGTTACTTTTTTGTTGGCTGAAGTGGACGTATACTCAAGTTGTTACAATGATGTTGTTACATTGATGGATTAGATTGAAGTCAGAAATCTTCAACGAAGTTACAGTGTTACCACAAGTGATCAAAGAATTGTCACATTATTATTGTAAGCAGTTTTCAACGTTTTTGAAGTGGTCTTCCACTGTATGCCAGTGATCAATGCTGGTATATCAAGCAAGTACATGAAATTATAAATAGTTATCTACAGTCAAGTCAAGTAATCAACGTGATAATTATTATCACATTATTTTCGACATTGTCTTACCAATGTCGGATTATTATCGTCTGTAACAGATTACTGTTACACCTACAAATGTGTGTTTTTTCTATCTGGATTTAGCTGTTCAAGTTTTTTCTATATGGATTAGCTGTTCAAGTTTTTCTACTGTGGATTAGCAGATCTAGTTTATTAATTGTAAACTGTTCCTAAAGATGTCTTATCTAAAACTGGACAAATTTCTACTCTGTAACTGGCTACTAGAACTATTTTGAATTTTTTTCAACTTTTTGGAATCAACAAAGTGAACTATTTTTGGACGTATATATGTACTATGAACTTTTCTTGGATTACCAGATGTCTGTAATCAACTGAACAAAGCCAGAATACAAGAAAGGGTATTGGTAAATTAATTAACACTTACCTATTGTTAACTAATGAATTTATATTTTATGTCATAAATAGAAAACAGATCAAAATGTCAAGTCGTACATATTTTAAAGAGCTAATGAAGGAGCTCGACATTCCGATGGTCAAGATGTCAAGACTAGAAGAATATATGGAAATGGCGAGGGATCTAGGCATTAAAAAGATGAAGAAGAAGATAGCCTGGGCAACCAATCGACTTGAACAAGACAGAGAAGAAGAAAAAGAAGCATTAGACAAAGAAACAGAACAACCCTGACTAGTTCATGAAGAAGTAATTAGAGAATTAGATGATGAGATAGAAATAATGCGTGATAGATTAAGAGATGCTACATACACACATGAACCAAAATTAGAAAGTCAACAGGCAGAACTTGAAGAAGTAAATATTGGCAAACTTTGGAATGAAGAACTAAGTAACATAGTCCAGGAAGAATTGAAACTCAAGGATAAAACAGAGGGTGAACTTACTAATGATTTAAAGGCGACAGATACATTTAGAATGTCTTAAGATTGACTCTTTATTGAATGATACGCAGGTACACGAGAATATTATTGAAAGTTGTATCGTAAGTCCATCAGAGAATGGCAGTCAACAAGAAACAAGTCCATCAGAGAATGGCAATCAACAAGAAACAGGTCCATCAGTGAATGGCAGTGATGATTTAATAAGTCCATCGGAGAATGGCAGGAATCATGATAAACTAATGATGATTAATGAATCAGTGAACTTAATAAGCCACAATGAAGAGAACGTACCTATTGAAGATTTACTTCAAAAATTGGAATCAAACTATAAAGAAGATATACTAGAACTCAAGAATAAATTTAACAAAGAAATGGAGAAATTAACACAGAAATTTATGTGTAAATTAGAATCAATAAAGAAGCACAAGGAAGTTAAGAAAGATGAAACAGTAACTAGAAACTATAATGTCATTAATGCACAGAATGAAAGTAAAAGAAATTTAGCAAACTATGAATACAGTCAACATGTTAATAAGAATGTCATTAATGTCATTAATGCACAGAATGAAAGAAAAAGAAATTTAGCCAACTATGAATACAGTCACCATGTTTATAAGAAGCCAAAATCTAGATGTTTTTACTGCGGAAAAACAGGTCATTACCAAAATCAATGTTGGCATAGGTTGGCAAATCAGAGAAGAAACAATTATGTACACAGAAAGTCATGTGAGAAATACAGTAATTTAAGGAATATTGTATCAAGTTCAAATCAGAATAACAAAAGTGTGAATAGGTATACTAATGGAAGTTACCGACGCAACACATATTATGAGAGGCCAAAGCAATGCCATAATATTTATATTGAGTTGGTTGATGAACCAAACGAATGTACACAAAGCAAGATAACTACTGACGTTGTTCAGAAACCAGAGGAGAATATTAAAACAAATGAAGTAACACAAGTTACACGAAATCTAGGAAACGATTATGGTAGCACAGCTAAAAGCTACAATTTGAGGGAGAGATGGCATACAGGTCATCGTCAACTGCACGAGAACGATTACTCATGCTATAGAGTTAAACAAGGATGCTAAGATTAAATTATCAATTGACAGTTTATTAATATTATACAGTCTGTAACTGTAATATATAAATATCAAATAATGTGTTTGAGTAAACATTAATTGTGTACTATATCTAAAGAATGTAAACTGTATTATGTTAAACCTATTCTATACTATTAATTAACAGGGAATAATGTATAAAGTAAAAGTTAGAGACTATTTATTCCGCATAACAATAAGACGGAAGTCTCAATGATGAATTGTATTAGTCGATACCTGTGAAAGGCAAGAATGTTGTGTTGTGACCTAGATATGACTGAAATGGGTCGACTAGGGGAGACAACAAAGTATATTACTCATGCGTGGTAATAACATACCTTGATGATAAGGAAGTTTTTTTTTTTACCACATAGGATATAAGTATTTAAATTATGAGTTGAATTAAGTCTTTGATAATTTCAACTATGTATTATGTTTTGGTATATTATTTATCCCAACTGATGTAGTTTTTTTACAGTTACTGGGTAATTGAAATGTTTTTTTCTCCTATGTGAATGTATATTGATGCATTAAATATTACATATAATGCTTGTACATTTAAAGTTTTTGTTCAAAACACTGACATATTTTAATTATCACTGATATAGTCACTACATACTGTTGTATTTGTATGCACTATAAATTTATGACTACAAGTGCTTAGTCTAAAATGAATATATTTTACTCTACTTTGAGTTGTACACAATTTTTTGTTGTCTGGCACATGATCCTGCCCTACTAATATTGTATTTATAAATTTTGTTACACAAAATTTTATTCGAAGGGGGGAACGTGTCACAGACTGTATTATTATGTATCTTTATTATATTGTGTTTTGCATGAATGAAGAGTACCTGGCTAGCGGAAGGACTGTCTGAGCGATCGTCATGTATTTTCCCATGCTTTTGGGTGAGATCGCTCATGTACGTAAGGGGAGAGAATAAAAGGGAGAGCAAAAGGTGAACGGGTGTTGTGTGCTAGGACTTGGGACTTGAACTGTGGCAGTGAATGTAAGATGTCTCCATGACTTGGCGTCGTGACTGTGACTGTACTTGTTGAGTATCTTCTAATATGGATTTACCATGAATAACTATGGATTTATCATTCTCACTGTATATAGTGTAAATAAAGTCATCATTTGAAGTTGCCACTATTGCTTGTATTCCTGTGTGAAAACTAACCCACAACAACAAATAATTCATGTTGTTACAATATTATTTTTTTAGGGCTTGTTAAAGCTTGGTGTAGTAAAATAATCCCATTCTAATCACAAGATAATACAAAAAAAAATGTTTCTACATACTTATTTAGAGTTGGAGTAGCATGGGTTTTGTCCCAAGTAAATGTTCCTTTGTGTATTTTTATAGCATGTTCTGTAGAATAAGAACAGAAAAAGTTAAAACAACTGTAGGCTATCCTATTCCACTAATCAATTAATGATAAATGTAACAACATACCAGCACTTGAGTTATATTGTACACTATCAGCTTCTAAATCATCTTGTCTCAGAAATTTTCCTATTCTTTTAAGTGATACCATGGCCTATAGGGATAATTAAAAAATATTTAGTATAATATAAACGACACAATACTTTTAATATTCCAAATAATGTGACACTGACCACATTTAATAAAAAATTATGTAGCCAGCATATTGATACAGAATTAAAGCAAAGAAAATGTGAACCTAAAATCAGAAAGAATTGATATGTACCTGTACAATGAATGAGACCATCATTGGTAGTAAATTAATGGGGAACCTCAGAATGTTGAACAACGACAGAGCAACAAATGCTTTGTTAGCATCCAGGTAGTGGGAGTCAGACACCTGAACATAGGTGGCAAAGGTTGCCAAGGTTACCTGTGGAAAAATGGAAAACAAAATTAATCCTGCTCTTATACATAAACAAAAGGTAGACAAAATGACCATAAATACAAATATAATTCCAAATTGAGGTTAATTTAATGAAATGCAACAACAGTTAAAGCTGAACACATAATGAAGGAAGTATATAACAAAATGACCGAAAATATAAAAAAAAATGAGGTTAAATTCAATAAGATTAACTAACAAGGTTAATGAAATGTAACAATAGTAATGCTGAAATGATACTGAAGGAAGTATATGACAAAATGAACATATATAAAAAATTGTGGTGAAATTCAAAACACAGTTTATTTTTAAAAATAAATAAGTTGTTATTAAAAAATATTACTTCTAAATAAAATAATCTTACCATAAAGGGTGCACATGTCCAGCAGAATGTAGAGAAAGCATTCAAGTAGGCTGTTTTCTTCAACAGAATCAGCTCTTTTCCCCTTATTTCTTCAACTTTTTCCTGGAAAGATGGCTCCCAAGCATACAGTTTTAGCACCTGAAATGTAAAAGTAACAAATGACAAAATAACTTCATACACTTGGAATAAAAAAAAAATTTCAAAATATATTTTTATATCAATTCTATGCTTAGTTCTTGTAATGGACATATCATATGAGATTAATTATGAGAACAAAAAAAAAACCAATCTAAAATTTATTTCAAGGTGCACAGCTTTAAAATTATTGTTTTCAATTGAATAAAACAAGATATCCTCCTAGAGTAAGCTTTACTGAAAGCTAACATTCATATGAAGACAAAATAATATTTTTTTATAGTTTTGAAAACAGTATATCTTAAAATGAAAATATTAAAAACAAAGATTTATTTCAAATTCAAATTTATTCAAATTCAAATTTATTCAAATTTATTCAAACAACGGTTACAATTGTAGGCACAAAGGCTTTTTTTCACATTGGCCGTTTAAACAAATAATACATTAACAAATATAGATCGCTAACCTTGATTCCACTAAGGACCTCGCTCATGAGTTTTATTCTCTGGTCTCTGAACTTCATCTGACTGATTTGATATTTCCTTTGTTTCATGGCTATGAGACCGTTGATTGGCATCAGTAGAATCATCACACCTAGACCTGCCAGTGTAGCCACGCCCATCACATCCCATAACATGTACAGGGCTAGTGTTATCTGGGTTATTGGAAACACAAAAGTTCATGTCAATCAAAAATTAAGGCCACACCCATCACATCCCACATCATGTACAGGGCTAGTGTTATCTGGGTTAGAGAAAAACATTTTGTGTCAATCAAAAACTGTAGCCACGCCCATCCCATCCCATAACATGTACAGGGCTAGTGTTATCTGGTTTACAGGAAAACAAATTGTGTTGATAAAAAATGCAACCATACCCTTAATATTGTTATATCTACAGAGCTTATTTAGTACTATAGAAAAACATTTTTGACGATCAAAAATGTGGCCTCACCCCATATATTAATGAGGTAAAATTGGTTTCCAGATAAATGTGCAAAGAGAAAAATGTACAAATACAAACTATTTAGACTAATACACTTTAATTTTGTCAGATTTCATAGAAAAATGTTATACTATGATACAATCAACATGTGGTCATTATTTCCTAAAGTCTCTAAAATAAAGTCTCTATTTGATCAATTTAAAACAAATTACCATGCCCACAATTTTTGTGCACAGTTTTCTGTTGCACATTTTTCTGGTTAACATAAGATGTATACAAAAACATTTAAAAACTGACCTGTAATGGAGCTGACCAAAGCATCCACAGGTACCCTGTAACATCCTGCATCCTCTGACAGTCTACAGACATCAGGTTGACTATTTCCCCAACTGTTGTTTCCTTCTTGGCTTCATTGCTTACTGTCAGACTCTACACGCAGAAGGAAAAATATGTTGAAATGTAAAACACTTGAGAAACTGGTTGAAAGGGGGAGGGGTGGGGTTGGTTCGCAGTAAAATGCCAAAAATAATCTTAGGTAATAATGTCAATAAATGATTATAACAACTTACACACCTATTACATTTTAAAATGGAAATGTCAATGTATGAAAAAAGCCAATTTATATTAAACACAAGTCTTGTATGAGACAGCCAATTAATTTCATACAGAAATATTGTATAATGATAGAAACATAGACTAAAGAGGTGCACTAATTTTATCACAAGGTATGAAGTAGCCTACAATAAATATTTTGTAAATGAGCTAGCAGCATAAATAACATTAAAAACATTCAACCACTCAATGATTTGTAAGATGTTAAAAAGTCTAAACCTTCTTGTAAACAGCAGCTATGAGAGCAGCTTTGATCCTCATCCCTAGAGACATCCCAATGTGGAAGTTCTGGTTGAACATGATGGAGCCCATCATGGAGACAACAAAGAAAGAGCAGGCGTAAACATAACCTTTCCACTCTTGGTTGTTCTCCTGATGTTTTTGTTTGTTACTGGTGTAATCAATCAACTCACTGGACAGAAATTTTGTTTGAATGTTATCTCTAGTCATTTTTAAACTAAAAAAATATTCTTAACTTAAAAAAAATAATTTAAAAACAAACAAACAATTGTGAAAAGTAATTAAATCTTAGTCATTACCTGAGTAGCAAGGGACTAACAAACTGTAAGAGGTCATAAATAAACTTGTTGAAATGGGCCAAAAGCAAGTCTAGGCCATAAGTTTTGGCTAGCACCTAGAAAAATAGGTAACAAAAATGTTAAAAGAGCTTTTTACTTATTAGTGATTTCAACTTCTAATGAAATAAAGCAAAAAAAAAAAATATAGTAAAAATACCCTTTCAGCCCTGGCTTGTAAGCATAGCAGCTAAAGTTCAATTATTTCTGTTCAATTACCTCAGCATATGAAGGGAAAGTTTGGTCAGGTCTAAAAACAGCAATCTTTATTTTCACTAACTTAAGATAGGTACCCATCATAGGTGGGTGATCTTAGGGATATCCTATTGACTTGTCCGAGAACCAAAAAGAAAAAAAGACTGTGTAGACGCCTAAGCACTCTGCTATTTTACCAACATTTAATACCATATTTTGTTTTCATACCTTAAGTAAAGAAGCAGGTAAAAGATCTTTATTTTCTTTTTTATCATCCTTAGCCGTGGTTGTTGATGCATTACCATTACGAATCAATGGAGTTTTCTCATTTGTTTCTATCTTTACACTGTTTCCCTCGTCACTTCTGTAGAAGGATGCAATACCTCTTTCTCTTCTTTCCTTCTCTTCTTGTGCACTGAAATATTAATGGTAAATATTTTTATGGCTTTGTTATATTTGTCAGAATTATTTTGAACTTACCACTTCAAAATAAGTATTTATGAAAAAAAAAGGAACTGAATTTTGAGGAAGTGATAGTCCATTTAAAATATATTAAAATTTATAAGCAGCACATTATGTGGCTGATTTTTACTTTCTACAGGAAAATATTCGTGTAGTGTGGGGATCAAACACAACCTACAAAACTAGATCATCTCGTTTCCTGGTATGGACAGTAACATTATGTCAGTTAAGTTATGTCAGCTGTTTCTATTTTGGCTTTTCAATTGTATTTTAAGTTTCAACTAGCACCAGCAAGTTTGGCTTGTGCAGGGATCTACAACCCATGTAGCTTTAATGATAAAAAAAGTAAAACCAGTTACTCACCGTTTCTTTTTTCTAGCACTGACCAACTCTTTCTGCCAGGCATTCTCAAACTGTGGGACAACTCTTTCTCCTTTATCTCTTGGGTGCAATTCAAACAAGTCATCTTCTTTTAGCCCTTTACGATATGCTCGCATGACCAGACTGTTGAAAAGATATTTTAAATAGATTAGGTTTTTTAAAACCATTTTTAGCGCAATTTCCATTCTGGAGAATTGCGTTTATTAACTCGTCTTTTCTGGGAATGGATGGATGGATGAATGGATGGATGGATGTGTGTCCGCAGCTTTAAGTCGTATCTCCTCCTCAACGAAGCAATATCGAGGACTAGTTCCAAAAGCAATTATGTTAAGCAAGTTACGAGGATGAACATAGGCCATAAAAATTCCGGGTTTCTTTCATGGATTTCCCGGAAAAGCCAAAAAACCTCGAAAAAATGCAGTTTTTGGCCCATATCTCGGCAACCAGACAACTTAGCGACTTGAAACATGTACCAATCGATTCCTGCCATAATTTAGAACAATATTGCCGAAGAAAGTTTTCAAAAATATCCTTTCGTTTGGTCACAAATTTTTTTTTTAATTAATAAAAATTTTGACCGAATTAGTAGGCATTTTATGCAACCACACCACACGCATCATCACGTTCAATAGCTGCGCCATCACGTTCAATGGCTGCGATGTCACGTTCGGTAGCTGGGCGCGCAATGGTTTTTAGTCATGTTACTCTATTGTAAATAAAACATGTAAAATACTGAAAAAAAAATTAATAAAAAACGTTTTAATAACTAACCAATGGTTTTACTAACCCTGCTCTTGATTTACGCTACGACAGAGCTATTTTTAGATAACACAAGGAAATTGCGCTAAAATTGTCACTAGACTTTTTTTAATTACTTGTTTGTTTTAAAAAAACATAAAATAGCTTTGCAGATACTCTTGCACATTTTTAGAACAGAAATCTAAACAAACACATTTTTGTAATAAACAAAATGTTGAAGCCTGAACATTAAAAAAAACTCTGGAAAAACAAATGGGGTTTATAAAAAACATTGATGAAATGCTTTCTTAAGTAAAAAATAAAATAATTACCCATTTATCCACCAGAATGAAAGTCTGTTTGGAAAAGAAGCTGAGACTTCTGGTGATGGTCTCTGAAAACAGAAATCAACAGACTGAGTGGTGTATATAGAAATAGACAATGTAGAGTTTACCTATTAATTTATTTGATTGATGTATAGCAAAAACTATATGGTAATCTAGATATAAAAAATTCTATATAAACAACATAAGAACTTACCTCTCCCAAATACTGGTAGCCCCCACGAGACAACTTGTCAGAGAAACTTGACAAAATAAACTGTACCAGTAGCAATGTGTAGTAGACATAAAATATAGAAAATGTGAACAGGTGGCTGTCATACTCCTGAAAACAAATATGGAGTTTATTACTGGATGAGCTCTTTTAGATATATTTTAAATGAAGTTGTGTTTTATTAATGTTTAAATGAAATATTTAATATAGTTTTAATTCTTATAGAATGAACACAGAGACTAGACAGATTAACGTTATATTTGTTCAATTAATGTCCACTGATTATGAGACAGTGGTTATAGAGTGGGTAGTAACTTGTACTGTTGTTACCGTTATTGAATAAACTAAAAAATGAAATTTAAGAAGTTGTATTCAGACTTACCTTTAACTTAATTTTAGTGTAGAATGGGATAATATTTCCTATGACAGTTACAAACCAGAATATCCACAAGACACCAGAGGTAATTATACCTTTAATTCTTTCTACCTGTATCAGAATTACTGTCAACAACTGGAAATATAAAACAGAAATTTATTTTTTACTTACAACGAATAGTATTTTAAATCATAGATAAATACTGTAATTTTTTGCTTTCTATTAACTTAGACCAAAAAAAAAAGCCCAAAAACAATAGTTATTAAATCAACAAATGCAAAGTGAAACAGATATGTACATATGTGGCTGCCTTGATGCCTCCAGTCAAATACACAACATCAGGAATCGAATCTGATTGGCTGCGTGGATCTGACTCCACCTTCACAGTGTCAATCACTGAGACTATACACAGAAGAAAGCTGAGAATCTGAAGAGAAAAATACTTGGTCAGAGTTGGAAAATAAAATTTCTAAACTATCTGTTTTACTACAACAACATATTTATTAACAAATGTAGGCTATTCATTCTATAATTTTTAAAACCATTGATTTAAAAAATAAAAGAAATCAAATTTAATAGGTCTTACTTGTAACACGGTAAAACTATTTAAACAGGTAAAAGTGAAATTTTCCATACATATAAAACAAAACTTACAGTTTTGGATAGGTTGAGTTTATTGACCCGTATCCTGAAACCATCTGCGTAGCAGCAGAGATAGACAAGATAGAAGGGGAGACAAACCCAGACAAAGCCACAAGGCACCCATACTATCAGGGTGTTCCTGAAGCATAGTGTGAATTCTGGCCAGGTGTTGTTCAGCAGGAGGTCCAAATCCTAGAGTAAAAAAATTTAAAGTAATGGAAGCAGTGGCAAGTGTATAAAGAGTCCTGTAAGGTAAGATTTTGATATTCCCTTATATACTAAACCAGAAATAAGTATGTTAGGTATTTTGAATATTTTCTGTTATGGTTTTTAAATAGAAATTACACACCTACAAACTGATCTTTAGAAATTAAAAGACTTAATTTAATGAATTAAGGGGAAAAAAAGAAAGCAAATTGTTTTCTTTTGGTTCTCATTTATTTGTAAACAGCAAATAGTCTCAATTAATTTTCATCATAATAATGATAATGTTACGGATTGGTCTAACAGTAGAGAGCTAGTCTGCTAACCCAAAAGTGTTCAGTTGAAATCCAGGTTCAAATCCGTAAAACATCCCTAAATCAACCCAGCTCTGATTGAGCACTTAACTCACTCTAGGGAAAACAATGGTGGCTGGGCATATTGCTGACTACATTACCCCTTCATATGCCAAGGTCTTTGAAAAAGATGAACTCTACTTCATCCATCCTGTGTGTCTTGAGCACGAATGAAAAAAGATGATGTTTCTTTCAGGTATTGCTTGTGGGTGAGGGGGGGGGGGGTCATTGCTTCCTCAAAGCATGTCTACGCCCCCTCCCCCCCCATGAAATAGAATTTATATAGAAAATATATACTTTTACTAGTGTCCACCCCCACTTCCCAGAGAAAAAAGTCAGATAGTTTAAGAGTTGAATAACAATGATCACAATATATATAAACCATTAGCTACTAACTATAAATTTTTTTTATTTTAAACTCTTAGTTTTCATTTCTGCTACAATAAGGTTTAAAACGTTACATAATATTATAATTTATAAATTTAAAATGTTCTTTAATTTAAGTGTAATTTAAAACAATACAATTTTGATTTTTAATTAATAGACTCTTTATATTAATCTTTATTGATGGTTTTTAAATGTAGTTCATGCTACTACATTACTAGCATTATTTTTTTGTTTTGTTTTTTGGCGTCTTGAAAAATGTAAGCTATGCTAGAGATAATTACTGTAAGAATAACATTTTAACAGCTTTGTAAAAAAACATAAAAGGTGTGATCACCCCCTTAATCTTCAAATTTTATATATCTAAAACTTAAAAAGTCTGCTATAAATGTCTACTTAAAGGTGAAAGCAGCATTTATCACATTTGTAATATCTAATTTGGAGTATCAATACTTTATCAAGCCCAGCCTGAAAATGTTATCAAACAGAGATAAACTACAAATCTGACACACTTGACTGACTTTAATGATGTCATCTTTAAAGTTACATCTATTACAGATTACACTGGTTATTTTTAAATCAATTACATTTTAAATAAAAGTTGTTAAACACTGATAGGGATTTATAGCTTTGATAAATCTTTTTAAAAAAATGAGTTTTTTATGTTTTAAACTCCTTCAAGACACTTCAAGATAAGCTATACATATAGTTTTATTATAGTATTACAATAATCTACTTGATATAAATGTTATCTTATGATGATGTAATAAACTGTGATCATTACAGTTGTATGTAGAATTTCCCAAAGTAAAACAGGATCTAAATACAATTTTTAAAGTTAGATCACTAAAATAAATCATACATTATGTAAACTATTATTTTAATGTCTATTCAAATATAATTTTTTGGATATTCATTAGTTGAATTATTCGACAAACTGTGGCTAAAACATCATAATAATAAAGTGTGAAGTGTAATATAATTCCACAAGTAATCTTTTTTACAGAATGGTTTTATTCAGTCTCTTAAAACAATAATCTTTTAAAAGATTGTACAAGAGAAAAATTAGCCTTACATAACCCAGATAACTCTAATACCAGTTCAGTACTTTGACCCAGAAGGTGCTGTCACAGACCATGGAATATATGTAACATTGAAAGCACTGAATTTTTGCAGTGTCACTGTTACAGTGCTTGCAGTGTCAGTCTTAGCTTACATAAACTGTAACAATCAACCAAGAGGAAAGATCTTTTTCTTTTCTCTTGTTTGACAAGCCATAACTAATAAACATAAAATAAACTTTTTTTCACAAGAGATTATGTTTTCCTGTTACATAGGCCCCTAATGTTTAAAAGTACCTAAGTGTTTTAGGCCAAATAACAACTATCATTTTTTGTGAGCCTATGTTTATATATTCATATTTATTATATATAGGGCCTATATATATATATATATATATATATATATATATATATATATATATATATATATATATATATATATATATATATATATATATATATATATATATATATATATATATATATACATACATATATAATACAGGCCTATCCTTTTGCAGATTATACATTCTTAGTCATTCAAAATCTACCAAAGTATTATGAGGACTATAAACTACAGTGGGGTTTGGGGGTAGAGGCTAAACCCACAACAAACTGCCTTTATGAAATTAAATTAAATATTGTAGGCCTATTACAATAATGTGCATTTATTAAATTTTGCATTTCTAAAAAAAAAATCATCTTCACAGTAGGCCTAATTATTAATTAATATTAATTATTGATTAGGCCTAATGGGCCAATATTACTAATTATTAGGTCTAATTAATTATATAATAATTAGGTAAACTATAGTTATAGTCCCTATAAATACTATAAATATAGAGATATAGTGGCTAATTGTAATACTACTTTAATCTTTAATAAAATGCATAGGGGCCTAATTTTTAATTATTAATAAATAACAGATTTTCTCATCTTAAAACGTTCATTAATCATTAAGTTCATTCATAGATTACAGGGCATGCATACTCTCACTTACCGCTTATAAATTCTAGCTTTTATAGTCTTATACTTATAATATAACATACCGACATACCGCGTGAATAAATCAGGTTATCGCGCTATTTAAAAGAGAAAACAAGAAATGTTGATGCAAAACCAAAATAAAGAACTCAACACCAGAAGTATCTTACGTATCTTCAGTTGGGCAACTTAAATCTATATCTGTTAATTACCCGAGAATCTACTTACAAATATTGAACTATTTCCACAGAACTCTGTGAAGTCGTCCTGTGCCATATCTACCTGTTGACGGCAGTGACACAATACCCTAGTCTGGCTCTGTAACTCTGTAGATATACTTTAATAATAGCGTACAAAACTGATTTTCTTTCACAGACCAAGAGTGGAGAGCTCGTCATCAAACTAGGTCGACTTTGGGCTAGTGTCCCTAAAGGCGGCCCAAAGCTTGAAAGATACGGACAGGTGTAATTTACAGCGCTATTTGTTTAATTTCTGAGTGTTTATTATAGGTACTCTAAATAATCTAGCACACCAAGAAAACAGTTTTTTTTCTTCCCAGACTGTGGCCTACGATATAAAGACTACAGAAGTGTGTAGTTACTCTGTATGGCCTCTTTCTAAACATCGTCACAACAAATTTCGTGTCGATGGGTAAAAAGAAGTGTGTGTGTGAGGGGGGGGGGGGAGGGGGCAGGCGGGTCAGCAAGTGTAATGACACACTTATGCACTTAGAAACTAAGTTTTAGTCGTTTTATTTTTTATTAATTGTATTTGAAAGTGAATAATACTGGCCTACTCAATGTTGACCGATTTTTGAAAAACCCCTAAACTATTTCGAAAGGGTGTTGTTGGCTGAGATGTGACGTCATTTTTGGGGTGGAGTCTGGTTTTTGTGACACCCCCCCCCCCCCCCGCGCGAACGAAATGGAATTTATATAGAAAACACTTTTACTAGTGCCCTCCCCCACCAGAGAAAAAAAGTCTGGAAGAAACAATGTACGCCTTTGCAGCCTACAACACTATGTTTATAAGTGTTGAAGAAACCGGTCATATCAGTCTGCCGGGTTAATTCCTTTGCTTCAAATTCTAGACTAGTAGACGTTATCTACTACGCTTCAAGTTGTTGTGAATTGGAGGTCATCACCTTTTAACCAAACTAGGTCTAGGTAAAAACAAAGGGGGGTAATTACTTGAAATTTGTGTTTTTAGTTATCATTTGCTTAAGTCCCTTGCTTGGGAATTGATTCATAATGAGACAATTTATGATGTCTTAACTTCAGTTTTTAATCCTTGATTGTTTTGCGATCTGCAGCAATATAGGTTTAACTTTAAAACTAAAAAAAATAAATAAATAGATAACACAATTTCTGAAAACTTCTGTCATTTATTTAATTACAAAAGCACATGCTTTGATACAACACACTTATCAAATAGATGGTCAAAATATTATTGATTGGTGTTTGGAAAATGTAAACAATTTGTGTCCTGGTACAACTATCACCAGATTTTCATTCATTTGATCTCAGGTTTCATTTTGAATACACTTAACACAAAAAACCAAACATCTTCCAAGATAACACTAAACAGCAAGAATACAATAACAGCTAATGTTATGCCCATAAAGTAAAAAAAAAATAAAAATAATGAAAACTATCTTTGATCAGCTGGTTCTGATGGAGGGTCTACAGAAGAAGATTTTGTACTATTTGTTGTTGAAGTTGTAGCGGGTCTCTGTTTGGCTGCAGCAGTGGTTTTGGCAGTAGTTTGCTTTGCTGCGTAAAAGTCATGTCTTGCGGCTGATAGAAGCATGTTGGACAGGGTGTATCTCATGTCCCTCTGGTGTGGTATGATGGGTGGATAGGGATTACCTAGGGGAAGGAAATTTAATACAAAATTTAAAATGCGTGTGGTTAATGTTAACTATTCTACACATATTCAATGATTTGGGAGAAAGCTGTTACAATATGTGGGGGGGGGGGGGGGGGGGTAGGGGGTGGAAGAAAGCATGAGTTATAAAGCTTTAATAATTAATAATAAAAAAAACTTAAAAGTACAGTTAGATAAGAGAATTAGGTCATAGTTCTAATTTATTTAATCCATTTACTGTGTTGTTCTGTAAATATTTAAACGTTTATGTTTATTGATTCAATAGGGAACAATCATACAACTAAACCATTTCAAGGCAATTATAAAATCATTCACAATGATCTTGTGTCAAGAGAAACTTTAAGTATTGATTTGTGTTACATAAAGAGCCACATGTGTATTATATATAATAAACAGAATTTACATTTGATTTTTCATAAACAAAATGTTACAACCTAAAAATAATAAAGGATAATTGAGAAAGAATTGAAATTTTTTTGCACGGTATTTTATTTTTTTTCTTAACCTTATAAAGTATCAAATTTGAAAGGTAGCTATGGGTGGCTCCTTTAACATGTTTTAGAAGAAATAATGTACTTGAAATAGATTGCCCACTAGTGCTTCATGATCAAAAACTCACTAGGCCCACCTGAGCACAGTATCATGTTTGAAAGGTTAAGGGAGCCAAGCACTTTCACAATTTTAATCTTAAAATACATTTTATAACTAGATATGAATAAACTAAAAAACGTACAAACCTCTTAACTCTAAAACACCCAATGCTGCTCCTGAGCCTGGGTACCGAGTTGCTAACTTATGCAGATCTGTGACACAGGTTTTATAACCTTTGTATCGCGGTACCAGCACTTTGAAAAGTTTATGCACCAAGTCTTTCTCCTGCAAGTACAATGTGAAATACTTAATTTTAAAGAAATGTTAATTAAAAAGAAATACATTTTAAAAATGCAGCTATTTTCACAGTTAAAAAAGTAAGCTATACAACAAAATCATTAGCCTACAAAATGAAATGGTAAACCCCCATATAAAAATAAATAAAAATAATCTACTGTTAAAAAAAAGCACATTTTTAAAACATACCTCTAGCCAAAAGTTTGCAATATCCATAGTCTCTTTATGTTGATCACCATTTTTTACAGCTAGGTAAATCAGCTATAATAAAAGATAAAGAAGTTATTGATAGAATGTTACACTTGGAGCTGGATGTATTATGGCTCGATATGCCAGTTGTACCAAGATCAAACAGAACACAATCAACAAGAGAATATATTCCATTCACATGTAAATTTCACCACAAGAAATGTTAAGAAATGACAAGAACTGACACTGTGTTCCCACCACAAAACATTCCTTCTTGCCCCTAGCATTCCTACACTTACTCTCCCTAACACACCACTTCAAGGGGAGGCCACTCTCACTCTCTCTATTCTTAGTGCCTACACATTATTGTTTTAGTTTTAGACAACCACATCACAAGAAACAAAATAAATAATAAGGCATATTTCTAAAACTACAGTATATGTTCATTTTAAAGTCAAACTACACCCCTCCATGACCTAGATATGAAAAATATGAGATCAAACCTCAGCTGATTAGGACCAGGCACCAATTTTCACCTTCATTTGCTAACAATAAATAACTACTACTCTATTCTTTAATTATACAGTTTCCTATTTCCCTTTAAAAAATACATCATTCCATTATGTAATTATATGTAATACCCAGTTCACAAGCTATATTTCCATCATATAATATAATAAAAAAAGTTATCTCATGAACTTGTAAATATATTAGTTACACTAAAGTGAAAATTTACCCTTTCTATGTATTGTCGAGCTTCATCAGCATGACTCCATAGAGGTTCCACTCTTTCATAGCGAATCAGCCCAGAGACTAATTCTTTGAGCCTTCTGATACGACCAGGCTGTCCTGCCCCAGGATATAGGGCTAGTTTTCTAGGTGTCTCATAGTGCCTGAACCTCAACATGATGCTTGTTTACCTGTGATCGAGAACAAAAAAGATTTTTTAAGTGAAGACTAACAATAAATTAACATCAATGAAACATTACAGTATTACATTTTGTTTTCTGAACTGTAAGCAGAGCTGCATATTTGAATATCTAGTATCTCCCTCAAACTATCACTTGTTCTGCACATAAAATCTTATCACTCTTATAAATGATGTAATATACACTCATTACACTTTATGACACAAATGCCAAAAAATGTATAAAATTAAGAAGGTTTTAGTTTTAGTCACTAAGAAGCCACGATGCTTGTAATAAATTTGTTTTATAATTTATATTCTAGATTTAGATCAAGAAAATATTTTAAAATATTCTTGTTGTCTACATCTAGTCTACTTCTTTTAGTGTTGGAATTTTTCTTCAATCATACCGATTTTATAAAAAACCCACAAAAAAATAAGACCATAAATTAGATTGCTAATCCTAATATATAAAAGGCCATGTGCGCTCTTCTCTCTCTCTCTCTCTCTGTCTGTCCGCAAAATATTTTCGCCGGACATCACGTCAGAATCGGCAGCGATATATGGATACCTTTATACGGACTTTTGTTGAAAATAATATGTTAGATGTTTTAAATGTATAACCACGATTTTATTTAAAGAAGAAAAATAAAAAATAAAGGCGTATTCGAATGTAGAGAAACAGTATTATTTATGCAACCAGAAAAGTGTTTAAACTTGGGACAAGAACGCATTTAACAATGACGTCGCTTATTGTTTACACTATAAAAAGAGCACGAAACTGATGACGTCATCTTCCGAGTTTAGAATAAAAAGAAATGAACTATTTCATTCAAATATGATTTAGAGCTATGTACGCTATGAAATGTATACAATATGATTTTCTTGGCCTAAACTTAAAAAAATTATTTTATCTATTTGGATTCTAGATCTAGAGATTCTAGATCATATAGATCTAGAGATTCTAGATCTAGATGATCTATAAAACTAAGTTGTCGGGTGCCCGATAGGGCACTTCCCGGCGCCGCAGGCGCTTCAAATTTGGCAGGATCTTGCCTTGGGGCCACAGAACACGGGGGCCGGTTGGCCGGAAAGTCTACGATGAGGGGGTCAAAACTGACCTCGACTGACCGGCGCCTTATATGGGCGAATTAATTAAGCATTCAAATTCTCAATGTTTTGGAAAGCCTAAGTGAAGCTGGGCAGCATGCCTAGTATGAAATAGGGCTCATTGTATAGCAAATTTTGCCTTGCTAATTATCTGTAATTAATTCCGCAAGTAATACTCGCATTTTATCTCCTAGCTATTTCACTCTTCAAAATTTACCAGCACCCATTTCTTGAGAACACAGTTAGCCGTTAGTGGTTGTCAGTTAGACTAGTAACTTAATTAATTTAAGTAGAGTGGTAGAGTTACTACCTACTACTAGAGTGTAACTAGAGTTTACTAGAGAGAGTCACTAGCTTAACGACTAACTAGTGTCAAGGTGTAGCTAGTGTCGTAGTGAAAGTGATAGTAGTAGATCTAGTTCTAGTACTGATACTGAGTGATAGTGTCACTGTCAACCGTTGTATCAAATACTAAAGTCAAGTGTCATCACAAGTCAAGCGAGAGTCATGATTCCATGAAGTTCTAGAAAAGCCTAAGTCAATTGCCCCCAAAATAGACTAAATCTACCAGGCGGTAAAACTCAATTTTAGCATATTTTATTCGCTGCTTCACGTTCAACTCCGGTTCAGCGTATTTTATTATAAACACAACTGAAACACACAAAAACGTTAGGAAAACGCTAGGATTAGAGCTAGATCTACTTATTTTTTATGAATGTGAGTTTTAATTAGAAAAAAAAAAACAACATAAAAAAGCATTAGGGCAGTTCCAATTAAATAGTGTGTGATTGTCAGCGTGAGAAAAATCCCTACACAGTCGAGGGTTCACCGTGAGTTCACATTTGACTTAATAAATTATCAGCATACCCCATACGTCATAGCTCGGGTAATAGCTATTTGAAATTGTGTTGGCCTCAGTTTTGGTGTTATTGTGAATTCATAAAAGTTTATTTATAGTATCATTATTGGAGATACTTACTTGTAACAATACAAACTTACTGTCTTTTAATTGTGAGTTACGTACTTCACCCATTACCATGAAAATCTTAACCCACATACGAACATAGCAGCACATTCAATATTCGGAATTCAGATTTTTCACAAGTTTTGACTAAAGTAAATATTCAAAAACTAAAACAAAAATTCATAAAGAAATAGATCTAGGCCTAAGCCCAATGTTTTCCTAAGTCTAAGTTTTTGTGTTTCGGTTGTGTACGCTCAACTGGAGGTGAACATGAAGCGGGGTATAAAATACGCTAAAAATACTAAAAAAATGGAGTTTTAGTTTTACCCTACCAGTACCAGGCTGCTATTTTAGATCTAGATCTAGAATCTAGATTCTAGACGTCTAGATCTCAGCTACTAACTAGTCTAGTATGTAGCTTTTTCTGACAGGGGCAGACAACCTACCTCCAAAATCTCACCATGAAAAATTTTTGTGTTTTTAAAAATAATATTTGGGGTACTCTCTGGTTTTTTGGAAATAATAAAGTACTCTACTGTTTCCTGTCATTTCTACCACGTTTTTTGAACAGGAGAGGATCAGCTCTTTAATGAAGTAAAATTTTCATTTTTCCGATGTTTTTTTTACCAAGAAAACTTCAAGTGAAAAATTAGGTAAGCTTGAACCTATTACATTTATAATTATAACATTATTCTTTTAGCAGAAATGAGAATAACTTTACAGAAGAACCATTTACTCTTGTAACTGAATCATAAAAAGTTAAAAAACTAGTCAGCAATTTACTTAAATTAATTTTTTCCCTAACTCAGTGGGGAAGCTTTTTTCAGCTGCCATCTTGTTTCAGCAATAGAGAAAATATAGTAAAAAATGTACTAATCTTAAAACCTTAGTGTTGCAATAAATAGCTGAAACTTTTAGCAGAAATGAGAATAACTATACAGAACAACCATTTATTCTTGTAACTGAATCATAAAAAGTTAAAAAACTCATCAGCAATTTACTTAAATTAATTTTTTCCCTAACTCAGTAAGGCAGCTTTTTCAGCCGCCATCTTGTTTCCCCAATAGAGAAAATATAGTAAAAAATGTACTAATCTTAAAACCTTAGTTCTGCGATAAATAGCTGAAACTTTTAGCACAATTGAGAATAACTATACAGAACAACCATTTATTCTTGTAACTGAATCATAAAAAGTTAAAAAACTCATCAGCAATTTACTTAAATTAATTTTTTCCCTAACTCAGTAAGGCAGCTTTTTTTCAGCTGCCATCTTGTTTCTGTAATAGATAATATATAGTAAAATATACACTCATTTCAAAACCTCAGTACTTTAATAAATAGTTGAAGATTGACGCAGAAAAGTGAATAACTATACAGAAGAACCTTTTTCCCTTGTAATAGAATTATAAAAGGTTCAAAAAGAAGTCAGCAATTTACTGAAATTAATTTTTTCTTTTACAGAATTAAGTTACAAATTTCTTCACATATCTTGTGAATTTTGCAGAGTAGATGAAGCTTGACCCCAATAGCTGCTAGCAGACCGATGAGGATGTTTTTGGACAGAAGATAGTGGCTGTTATAGTCTACGCAGGATGTTATGGAACGGCAGATATCCCCTTACTTGACTGGTAACTATTCTGAACCTTCTGAGGAAATGTTAAAATGGACTCAGTCAGCTCCTGCCCACAAGATCCATGCTGAGAGGATACTAGGATTGATGGACTTGCGCTGAGCTCTAAACACCACTGGGTTTTCTGGATTTCAGGGTGAAGGCAAAGCTGAACTCAAACCTTCAGTGGCTGGAAAGGAAGTCAGAAGCAGAGCAGAAAGTCCTAGTGGGACAGCACTTGGCTGGTAAGGACTGCAATTACTTCAGAAGGTTTTTGAATCAGAAGACTGAGATTCCTGTACAATCTCTAATTGTGGATCTTGCAGACGATGACCTCAGTTTTGATTAATAGTTAGTGCTATTGAATTGTTTTAATCAGCTCAATATAATGTACTGGATAGTATTGACTGTATTGTATGTAAATTAGAACCTATACATGAGGTGAGTAAGATACAATTTTTCCCCTCATTTTAAATAAAAAATGTCTTTAAATTAAAAGCTAGGCCTATTCATTAATTAGGTATAGCCCAGTTAACAATTATTCTTTGCATTTCAGGGTACTTAATTGTATATTTGTATTGTAATATAGCCAAAATGTAGTTTTAAGTTTTTAAAGATAGTGCTCTCTCGGGCCTAACAATTTAAATTTTGAAAGAAAATTATTTAGAATTAATATTAAATTTTTAATTATGCGCAAAATAATAGCAAATTATTATAGCTGTAATTAAATTTTGTGTTATTTCAGGGCTGATATTATTGTAACTTTTATTTGTGATAAATAGTGATATAATATTTCCAAATACAATTTTTTAAGATCATTTTGCTGTTTTTGTTTTATGTGTTATCTCCCTTTTACAATATTTGTGTTGTTCGCCTCATTAAAAAACAAAAAAATTGATTTCTCAGCTTCTAATTAAGCTAGAAATACAAATGAAGTATCTATGTCATGTTTACCTTTAACACTATGTAACTTACATTGTAACTAACAGGTTTATAAGATATAAAACTCACTAATTCTAATCCAATGCTACTAGTACTACTACTACCTGAACTAGTCTATAACTCTATATAAAATTAAACATTTAATGTAGGTCTATGTTGTCCAACCATTTTCTTTAGATCTAGATCTAGTCTAGTTGTAGCTCAATAATAGTGAAATACTAGATTCTAGATCTAGATCTAGATCTAGTTCTAAATCTACTTACTGCTTACAACTGGGCCTCACGTACAGGACAAACACATTCTCAACACACACAAATTGGAGGTCATTGTCAATGAACACTTCCGTGTCAAGTATATTATTAATAATTCGCAAAATTGTAGGCTATTAGATCTAGTTCTAGATCTAGCTAGAACTCTTATGAAAAATAATGAAAATCGATGATCAGTGTATATTTGTTTAAACTGATGCCTTATTCAAAATATGTTGAATTATGTGGCTTATCAGTTAATTTGGGTGGGCTACGCATTAATATTTCGGTCTTTAACACAACCCACCTTAATTTGGGAGCAGTGTTTCTTCCAGACTTTTTTCTCCGGGGGGGCACTTGAAATTTTCGGGGGGGCGGTAAACTTTCTTCGGGGGGGCGGACACTGTTAAAAGTATATATTTTCTATATAAATTATATAAATTTCATTTCGTTCGGGGGGGCGGTAAAAAAATTTCGGGGGGGGGGGGGGGGCTTCGCCCCCCCGAAGAGATGCCTGGAAGAAACTCTGTTTGGGAGGGGATGGGGGAAGGGTGCTTTATAAAGATGTCACGCAATTCAATTTTAAACCAATGTTATCAACCCAATACTAGCCATGAGAATATATATATATATATATATATATATATATATATATATATATATATATATATATATATATATATATATATATATATATATCAGAGGCGTAGGGGGGGGGTAAGGGTGCGGACCGCATCGGGTGACACCATTTAGGATGGTGGCACCAAGGCAAAAAAATAGCAAATTATAAATAAAAAATGATCATTTCACTTAATTAAATGATTAATTACAGTGAAGTAAATAGTCTTTTAAGAGCAAAGTGGACAAATCTCGACACGAGCGGAGGGGGGGGGGGGGGGGGGTGACAGCATGACGTAAACCTGCTAATGATAAAGAAAACATGCAACATCCAGCTGAATTTGTAACTGAATATAGATGTAGCTAGGGTGGGCCTAGCTACTAGTCACAAATCTGATAACGAACGTTAAGCCGAGACGCAGTATTAGTCTGACGCAACCGATAGCAGGTGGCTTATTGGATCGGACTGATAACAATCTCAAAGCCAACGCGTGCTATTTTGGGAAACGGTACGAGGGGATTCAGACGGCCTGTCAACTTTGATTGATAGGATGCAGATGTTTATTAATCGGACTGTACGTTAGAACTGCGCAACTAGTAGTCGGAGACATCGAGTACAAGTATCGATTACGGAGGAATACAAGTACGAAGATGAGTACGAATACAAGGGATAAATAGGAGGGGACGGCTGAACTCGTTCTCTTCCCTCTTCATCGCTCGCTTTAGATCAGTCAGTCTGTGTGACATACCAAGTTGGTTATATTGTGTTAAGAAGGACATTAGACATGTGGATTCAGTTATATGAAGCCTAGTGAGGACTGTTAGGGGGTCAGTTGATTCAGACTATTATATTGAAACATTTCTGTTGATTCATTGTGTTATATTGAAGCATTTCTTGATTCATGTAATAAAAGGATCAATAGCGAACCTGCATCTTCGAGTCTTTCTACGGTAGTCGATGTTGTGTAGCATGAGTGGTTCAACTCGTTACAATTGGCGTTGTCGGGCAGGATAGACTCGGGGAAGGTCACAATTAGCGCTGCGAGCAGGGTCACATTTGGCGCTGCGAGTAGCCTAGGTCACAATTGGCGCTGCGAACAGGATGAATTCAACTAGACTTGCCGAGTTAGGCACCCATAGTCAACCTTGTGCATAACTGTGTTTAGTGTGTGTGTGAATTCTGACATTCAGGAACTGTGAAAATCGAGGAAAATTTTTTTCATATACACACGGTAAGAAAGAACTCTTTTGTTTTACTTACGGAATAAAATGTCTACTCTGGACGAGAAGCAGACCCATATAGTGGTCCTACCCAGAGAGTCCCACATTAACAAATTTTACGGGGACGGTGATCCAACTTTAACCAACAGGTTCAGTGAAGAGGTCAAAGCGGCCTGGGCCTCGAGAAGCATGTCACCAGAGGAGAGATTAAGACTGCTGATGGGCAGTATAGGAGAGACGGTTAGGGCAGAGGTCAAATGCCACGATAAAACCATCCAATCAGATCCAGATAAGGTGCTGGATCTGATTATGGAGACCTTTGGGGAGAGACGGTCGGGATCGCAACTGCTAGCAGGGTTCGTAGGCTTAAGGCAGAGATTGGCGGAGAGTGTGATGGAGTACTCACACCGGATGAACAGGGCCTTTGATTCGGTAAAGGTCAAAACACCTGACATTGATGTGCGCCTACTGAGGGACCATTTCATCGAGGGGCTGGCAACCCCGATCCTAAGAAGAGAGTTGAAAGAGGAGGTCCACAAAGACCCGCAGTTGACCTTCCTTCAGGTCAGGAACTCAGCGATCCGCAGGTCCGAGGATGAGGACCAATCGAACTGTTCGGTGGACAAAGTCTCTGTGCCTGAACAGAGACAATCCCCACCCACAGGGGCCGACACGATGGAGACCATGATGGCTCAACTGTTGGCCCACCTAGATAAGGTTGACCAACGTTTGGAGAGGTTAGAAAGCAGGTCAACAGCTGAGAATCAGGAAAAGAACGGGACAAAACAGGGACGGGTTGGACGGCCGCGTCCTGCCAAGCCATCACTCCAATGGACGGCCGACGGCCGACCAATTTGTTTGTCTTGTTCACAACCCGGACATATGGCACGGTACTGCCAGGGAAACGGTCGTCCTCTGTAAGGCAGGGCCAGGCTACAGAGGGGCGAGGTTATGGCCCAAGAAGCAAAATGATGGGAGTCTGTCCCGAAATGGTGATTACGATTGGGGACATCGCGGTGAAGGCAATTGTGGATACAGGCTCCCAGGTGACGACAATCACGGAAAATTTTTACACCAAATGGATGAAAGGAAAAGACCATAGGTTGAGGTCTGACACATGCATGCGCCTGACGGCAGCTAATGGACTAACCATTCCATACTGTGGTTATTTTCTGGCGGATGTCGTGGTGGCAGGACATAGGTTGAAGCAGGTTGGGGTGTTCGTTACGAAACACAACCTAGAGACAAATGTGTCAAATATACCTTGCCTGTTGGGCATGAATATTCTTGGCCAGTTGCCAGAATTTCTTACAAATATTGTCGGATCGACCACACCAGGTCGGGGATCCAAGATGGCCAGGTTTGCCAAGACCAGAGGAAGGACAGCAGTCCCGGCAAACACGGTCAAGGCAATCACATTACAAATTGGTGATAGAAGTGTGAATGGTGATGTGATGATAGAACCATGTGGCGCCGCACTGAGGGCAGGTGTCGTGTTACTGCGGACATACACATCAGCGGAAAATGGACTAGTTCAAGGATTAGTAGCAAATGTTTTGGATGAGGAAATTTTTATACCGCCTAATACTCTGGTAGGAGTACCACAGAACGTCGAGGTACTAAGGTCGGCACAGTGCATCGAACTGAGCAATACCAGCAGTAATGAAGTAACAATTAGGTCGGTCAATGTGACGGCCGAGGTGAAGAAAGAGGATGGCCGATCATATACATTCCCGGAAACTGAGGACCCAAAACTAAATGAATTGCTGAATAAATACAGTGATATATTTGCCTCGTATGAGGGTGATTTGGGGTACACGGAAGTAATCAAACACCAGATACCCTTACTACAAGACAAGCCGGTGGCGCAACCTTATCGAAGATTACCACCGAGTCACTACTCGGCGGTGAAAGCACACCTGAATGATCTACTAAAAAAGGGAATTATTACAACCAGTACAAGCCCGTATGCGGCACCGATAGTAGTGGTAAAAAAGAAGTCAGGGGAGATAAGACTGTGTTGTGATTACCGGAAATTGAACAATGTCACAAGAAGGGATGCATTCCCCTTGCCTCGTATTGATGAATGTCTTGATGCGTTGGGGGGAGCAAGATTTTTTTCTACCTTGGATTTGGCTAGCGGCTACCACCAAGTGGCCATGCACCCCAACGATCAACATAAAACGGCATTTATTTCTCCACTGGGACTGTACGAGTGGACCCGTATGCCGTTTGGTTTGACTAATGCACCTGCTACATTCCAGCGAGTAATGCAGAGTGCTATGAGTGACTTTCTATTTCAAATAATGTTGGTGTATTTGGATGATATTCTAGTTTACTCAAAAACTTGGGAGGACCATCTAAAAAGATTAGAACAAGTGTTTCTCCGTCTTAGGGAGATAGGAGTAAAGCTGAACCCAGACAAATGCTGTTTTGGTCTGAAATCGGTACATTTTTTGGGTTATGTGATTTCGTCGGATGGCATCGCCACTGACCCAGATAAAATTGCAGCTGTTAAAGAATGGAAACAGCCAACAACTACAGTAGAGGTCAGATCATTCTTGGGCTTTGCTTCCTATTATAGAAAATTTGTGCCTGGTTTTGCAAAAATTGCCGCACCATTGCATGACTTGGTAAACAAAATGACAAAGAAACACAGTAAGGAGAAAAAGAAAGGCAAAACACAACTGATAGGTGAATTATGGACTGATGAATGCCTGAACTCGTTTAAGCTCTTGAAAAAGGCTTTGACAGAGGCGCCGATATTGGGATACGCGGACTTTGATAAACCATTTCGGTTAGAAATTGACGCCAGCTCTAAAGGTCTGGGAGCTGTGCTATCACAACAACAAAAGCAAGGTTTCAGGGTTATTGCGTATGCCAGTCGAGCTCTGAAGGGATCAGAGAGGAACATGACAAATTACAGCGCCATGAAACTAGAACTTTTGACATTAAAATGGGCTGTGACTGAAAAATTCAGGGACTATCTATTAGGTGCTAAATGTGTGGTATACACTGACAATAACCCCTTGAGTCACCTAAAGACAGCAAAGTTGGGATCCATCGAACAGCGATGGGCAGCAGAATTGGCACTCTTTGACCTAGAGATAAAGTATCGCCCGGGGCGGTCCAATGGCAATGCGGACGCCTTATCAAGGAATCCTTACGAGAAACCGGGTGATGAGGAAGAAACGCTGACAGGAATATGTGAGGTCAGAGCGTCAACAGATATCCCTCATGGGGTACAAGTAATGCAAAACGGGCAGACCGGGGTGGAGCACATATCCACAGAGCCCGGACATATGGACAGTAGTGATTTTAATTGCTTTAATCACAAAAAGATAAGAGATGCCCAGAGAACGGATAGTGGCTTACAACCGCTATTGAAATACGTCCAGGAACAAAAATTCCCAGGAAGAAGGGAAAGAGAACAATTTGGTCGAGAAACAAAGAAAATACTGAGTCAGTGGGACCGTCTCAGTATAGAGGATGGTGTTCTCATGCGGAGAATTCATGACCAAATTGATGGGACAATACACCAGGTGGTGGTGCCTGGACAGTTACGAGAAGAAGTGCTAAGGTTGGCACATGACAGGGCAGGACACCAGGGTCAGGACAGGACGCACAAAATATTACGACGGAGGTGTTACTGGCCCAATATGGAAATGGAGGTCAAACGCCATTGTGAGGCTTGTGTGAGGTGTCAGCATGCGAAAATGCCAGTTGTCAAATTGAGACAGCCATCAGGACACCTACTAGCGACAAAACCACTAGAGATTGTGGCTATGGACTTTACGTCGTTGGAGCAATCATCGGTTGGGACGGAACATGTGTTGGTAATGACTGATGTATTCACCAAATGGACTGTGGCGGTGCCCACACGAGATCAGACTGCCAAAACAGTGGCAAAGGTCTTAATAGAACATTGGTTCATCAAATATGGCATACCAAGACAATTACACTCTGACCAAGGAAGGGCTTTCGAGTCAGAAGTAATTAACCAACTGTGCAGCCACTACGGGATCAACAAATCTAGAACAACCACATTTAATCCGAAAGGAAACGGACAGTGTGAACGGTTCAACCGCAGCATGCATGATTTGCTGCGTACGCTAGAACCTGAACAGAAAAAACGTTGGCCTGATTTTCTCCCAGAGTTGGTATATCTATACAACTGCACACCCCATGCCACAACCGGCTTTTCGCCACACATGTTGCTGTTCGGACGAGAGGCTCGACTCCCTCTTGATTTGTTCCTAGGAAAAAGGGAGAGTATGACTGGCTCATACACCGCACTGGAATATGTGAATGAACATATGAGAAGAATTAGAGAAATGTACAGGGTAGTACAGGAAAGACTAGAACATGAAGCACGGCGAAGGGAACCGCCGGTACAGACGAAGGACCCGCCACTCAAACTGAATGACAGGGTATTACTGCGTAGCCACCCGTTAGGCAGAAACAAAATCCACGATCTCTGGGGACAGGAGATATGGCAAGTCGTGGAGATGCCTAAAGTAGCAGGTGGCCCCTTTAAGATAAGACCCATCGATCACGCCAAACCGGATCGGTGGGCGAATATTGCTCAATTAAAGAAATATTGGAATAGGCAAGAAGAGCAGTTACACACAAGGAAATCCAAGACAATTAGGGAACCGGAAACTATAACGGAAATTCACATACCCATCCCGGAACCATATCACCATCAACAGAACAACCGCGATATACAAGTGGAGGATAACGGCAACAAAGAGGATCCCGTTCCTTCCAGAAGCAGAGAGACAGTAGACCATCAGATAAGTGGTCCGCGGAGAAGTTTGAGGAACAGAAGGAAGACGAAATTTTTTGTCAGCAACCATCAAGTCTTTCATGGTCGCGCTGGTATGAGAACAGACGGTGCAAAAACCTATAGAACTGAACGGGTGAAGGCACCAAACGAGAAGGGTGGATGTGAATTCTAGAACTGTTTTGTGTCTCAGGAAGACGATGTAGACACAGTGGATATGTGAAATAGGTATAACTGTCAATCGTATACGAATGGAACGTCGTGGACAGTGATTGGAACAATAGAATTTTTTTACGATTGTGCGATTGACTTTGGAGGAGTGCACCTGCCAGGCGTTGTTTGTGGTTGAAAACACACAAAAAAAGGCAGGGGTGGATGTAGCTAGGGTGGGCCTAGCTACTAGTCACAAATCTGATAACGAACGTTAAGCCGAGACGCAGTATTAGTCTGACGCAACCGATAGCAGGTGGCTTATTGGATCGGACTGATAACAATCTCAAAGCCAACGCGTGCTATTTTGGGAAACGGTACGAGGGGATTCAGACGGCCTGTCAACTTTGATTGATAGGATGCAGATGTTTATTAATCGGACTGTACGTTAGAACTGCGCAACTAGTAGTCGGAGACATCGAGTACAAGTATCGATTACGGAGGAATACAAGTACGAAGATGAGTACGAATACAAGGGATAAATAGGAGGGGACGGCTGAACTCGTTCTCTTCCCTCTTCATCGCTCGCTTTAGATCAGTCAGTCTGTGTGACATACCAAGTTGGTTATATTGTGTTAAGAAGGACATTAGACATGTGGATTCAGTTATATGAAGCCTAGTGAGGACTGTTAGGGGGTCAGTTGATTCAGACTATTATATTGAAACATTTCTGTTGATTCATTGTGTTATATTGAAGCATTTCTTGATTCATGTAATAAAAGGATCAATAGCGAACCTGCATCTTCGAGTCTTTCTACTGTAGTCGATGTTGTGTAGCATGAGTGGTTCAACTCGTTACAATTGGCGTTGTCGGGCAGGATAGACTCGGGGAAGGTCACAATTAGCGCTGCGAGCAGGGTCACATTTGGCGCTGCGAGTAGCCTAGGTCACATAGATAAAAATCGTCAGTATTAATAGTATTATCTAAGCACAGTTTAAAGCAATCACAGTGTGGATGACGGGGGGGGGGGGGGGGGGAATGGAGTTACATCAACTCATAGTTGCAATATATATGCCTGAGGAAAATGCAGAAGAAAAAAAATTGCATACATATACACATGCGTATACACAGAGCGTAGCGGGGGGTGCTGACCGCACCGGGTGACACCATTCAGGCGGGTGACACCAAGGCAAAAAATAGCAAAATATATAGATACAAATTTGAGGGGGCGGGTGCAAATCGAAAATTTGAAAGTTTGTCCCCGGGAAGGGTCGCTAGCCTCTGGGGGGGGGGGGGGTGACACCATTAAGTGCCGCACCGGTTGACACCCGACCTCGCTATGCCACTGCGTATACACATACTTACAAGTGTATATGGAATATATATATATATATATATATATATATATATATATATATATATATATATATATATATATATATACATATATATTTTTATTTTTACGGGGGGGGGGGTGACACCGGGTGACACCCGATCTCGCTACGCCACTGATATATATATATATATATATATATATATATATATATATATATATATATATATATATATATATATATATATATATATTTATTTATTTATTTATATATATGCTGACACAAAATGTTTGTGGCTACCAAAGGTTGTTTGACAGGTTTTTAGATTACGTCTCAGCCACTCTATGCTGCATTTAGTGGATGGTGATTATAATTATGTAAATATCTATCGAACATTTTTCTTGAGGAGGGGACATTACCCAATCCAACCAATAGTCACTGTTCACCTACTACTCTAATCGATTAACCCACTGTCATTTACCGTTTTACCACCTTGTACTTTACCCAATGCCTACAAATTAATGCAGTAATGTTATGGATAAGGTTGGGGATATGGTTTGAGATAAGGTTGGCTTTGGGATAGGTGTTTGGACAGTTTTAATGTTAGTGATAAGATCTATTTTTAAAAAAGAGTTATGGTGTTGATTAATTGACGGGAGTATTGTCCTTGTTCCTTATTTAATTACCTTTTTGGTCTGACGGTCAAAAGGAAAGATGAAGTTCACCTGTATCTGTGACCTTGGCGTATGAATAGTGTCGTCAGCTCGATGCCCAGCCTCACATGTCACGCTTTCTGTCACATCACACATTTTTGCAAAACTCCAAAGTCCTTTCTGCTTTCAGAAGTGCCTAGTTGTAGGCCGACTTGCAGCAATACTCTGAAGTGTAACACTGATTTAACACTGAAAAACTACTAAGCTGATAAAACACAGAGTATAAATCATCAGAAATTATTGATGAACTTTAAATGAATTTGTCATAATAGACCCGGACAGATAAACAAGAGTTCATGTTTCTGTGACCTCAGCTTTTAAGGGATTGTGTTCAGTTATAAGCCTAGCTGCTTCCACTTGCCCTAATGAGTCAGATACCTATCAGAGCTGGGTGGACTTCTAAGAGACCACAGATCTTTTTTCTTCTCCATTCCTAATTGTAACATCAGAGAGTTTTTTCTCCAAAACCATTAAGTATCACATGTGAACTTGTTATACTCCCATTTCAACCTGCTTTTGTTATTGGATTTGCTTCAATAGCCTCAATCCACCCAAGAACAAACTACAAGGCAGCTCTTGTTTGACTTTGGAGTTTTCTCTTCTAGATGGGTATCTGTCCCTAACTATCAGGCATCATCTGCCCAGGGGATTTGAACTTGGGATTTTTCAGTTTAGCAACCATGAACTTTACCAACCAGGTAACTAACTTAGAGGCTTTCAGGTAAGAGCTGTGGATTTTGCCACATAACAAAGCTATCCTAATTCTAGTATACCTACACTTGTATAATGTAATTGCAATATTAGTTGTGTTTTTTATAAAATAATTAAAAATTCATAAAGAAACATATTTCTTTCATCATATCCTGAAGTTCTAATGAATGAAATCAAACTATGTGCTAGCGAAGTTTGGTTCAAACAAGACCCATCTAAGGAGCTCAAAATGTTAATTTAAAAGTATAAAAACTAACAATAACCAGTTCTAAAAATGAATGAACACATTTTAATGTGATTATAATACAGCAACATTCAATGAAATATGATGGCATATTTTCAACACTGGCACTCAAATGACACCGACAAGTGACATCTACTAATTAGGTAGGTTCACAAGTTTACATCATTTACACAAATCATTTATACAAAGACATATAAAACTATTTCATTACACCTAATTAATATGACAGATAATTAGTAAGTTTTACATAATTTACATAACATATATTTCACCTTTTTCATAAATTGTAATTAAAAAAATACACTAACAGTATTTTAGGTGTATAAGAGGACTATTTAACCAACAAAAATCTCAAAGCTAGCTGTCGTCTTATACATGGGGTGTCATTAACACAGAGTTTGTATATCTCTCAATAACTTAGCTGAAAATTTGAAAATGGTCATGGTGATGGGGGAATAGTTTTAAACAAATTGGTCATCTTAATTACATATTACACACTGGAAAATATGTTAATAACATAAGAGAGTCACCATGTTTGAAGTTATCAGGTCACTTTCTGCCCTTACACATTACATTGACATTTGTGACTGTTTCCAATAGATACACATCTATAGAAACAGCAATGTAGGACTAAATATGACCAATGTTAGAATCCATTATGAACCTTGAAAGATGATAGGAACTAACTTATCATAAAGTTTTATTGTTTCTTTAGTTCTTGTGAAATTATTTATACCTAGCAAAAGTTTTAAAAGTAGCGTATTAATCAACCAAATCTGCTTCCCAAAAAAGCAAAGCATACCAAAACCAGAGTCTTAGAAATTTATTTTTTTTAAAAACAAAAAGCACATTTCCATCAACAATACTGCATAAACTATCATTGAATTAATTAAATCTAAAAAAATTTTCAGATGAGTAAGAATTAATTTCTTATGTAATATCCAAGTATTTTTATAATAATGCTAATGAAATACCTTCACTGAAGATATTTTTTATTTATCTGATGGAATCCACATGTTTTTCCCTTAAACAGATAATTACTCTATCCCAATAAGGATATTTTCTTATGGTTGTTTTAGGCTAAACAGTACAAGTTACATGCACACTGTAAAACAAGTTGTTCATACATTACCAATGCATTTAGAAAAAACAACTTGTTCACATATTACCAATGCATTTAGAAAAAACAACTAATGATGCACAAACTATATTTCCATTCACTCTAAACACATAACAACATTATTTGAGTCCTAATCTTTTCTTTTCTTTATCTTTCTTCCTCACTACTTCAATATTTCTGTCTTTCCAGTTACTCTTTCTCAATTTGATTGGTCGGTTACCCACATATTTACCTGGAGAAAAAAAAAAAATTCAAACATTAACATTAATGGTCATTTTTAAAAATTACAATGTATTAATATTTAAGGATAAATAGTTAGATAAATTTCTAAGAGTAGAAATGTTATTGATTGGTTGATCCTATTATTAGCACTACTTATGTATTTTAGTTTTACAAAGGCAAACTGTAGGTTTTCTTTCATCTAGTTATTCTATATTTGATGACATCCCACAGCTATTAACAAGTGTAAATTTCCAACAGAGTAGGATACATCATTCGACTTGCATTTTCAGCTTATGTAAATTCGATCAAGTCAGCTAATGTCAAGACTGTCATATCATTTAATGGCAGTTGTCATGTCAATTAAGTTAATGCTTAAGGTTCTGTAAACTTAGGCCATAACTGTGGAACATCAGTTATTTAGTTTTGTTAAATGTGTTCATGTCTTGGTTTTAATAATGATACACATACAAATTGATATTTAAAATGTTTTTCCTAGATCTAAATGTATTTCCTAAATCGGTAATGTATTGATCCATACTTCATATTTTGAAAGCTAGTACTCAAATTCCATTTAGCAAACGAAGAGAAAGAGATGACAATATTTGAAGTTGTGACAACAAGGCAAGGACGATGTCAGCCTTCAACAGCATGACATTTAAGCATTTATATGTCAAACTCTGACAAATGACACTAGCAGTGCCATTAACGTGTCAAACTGACATGGCAATACTACATTAACATGTCACCCATGACAACACGACACATGACGTTAAACAATGATTTGAACCTTTAGCTTAAAGTTTAATATATTTTATCAACAGAAAATAAAATAAAGCTCGTCTAGATTCTAGGCCAAATTATCGAAATCTGTTCATTCTAGAACTCTCTTTCTTTTTTCACCCTATATTTTCACGTAAAAAAAAAAAAAAAAAACAACAAGTCTTAATTTATTTGGACAAAAAATAATTCAAGATTGTTTTAATAAATAAGACAAAAGAGGTGAAAACAAGCTAGCCTCGACGACATAGATCGCCATGATTGTTGTTGTAACGAGGTGACGTAAAAACAAAACAACATGGCTGAACGATTGGGATTGCCGATATAATTATCTGGCGAACAAAACAAACCGGAGCACATAAATAAATGAATAGCTTTCAGGAATTTGATTGTAAACATGTTTGTTCTGTGACAATAGGATGAGGATCAAATGTTAAGCGACGTGAGCCAGTGTTTCTTTCAGGCGTCCATTCGCGGGGAGTCAGTAACCCCCTTACCAAACCCCCCACCCGACGAAAAATTTTGCTTAAAAAATTAAATAGAAAAAAAAATGAAAATATATACTTTAACAATTGTCTGCACATTCTGGAAATTTCGAGTTCACTATTCCCCTTCGGAAAGAAGCTTCAAGTGCCCCCCCCCCCCCCCTCCAGAGTAAATTGTCTGAAAGTCAGTGAAAGAAAACCCTGCCCAGTGCAATGCATTTACAGAAGACGTGGTAAATATGTAGAAAGGCAGCTCTGTACGTTTTAAATCTTGAAGTAAACGTAAATTAAGTTAACTCTGTCAAAAGTAAATCCAATACCCATATTTATTACAACATAGAACGATACCAAAAACTTCATTCAACTCTGGGTGCGAATGAAAGTCTATGTATTGCGTGTTTTGTTTTCATTTTATTTTAAACAAATTAGGTAGGCACCTTTGAATTGTATTTTTTTAAATAATAAACACGTACAGAAATACCTCCGTAATCACAAGACTTTGGACCTGCACGTAAAATATGGAAATAAACAGAGCTGAAAAACTAAAAACAACACGACCTTTTAGATCTATAGTCTTTATATGAAAGAGTGAGTCATTTTAAATAATTAATTATGTATCGTCTCGAACGTATGAGTTGCACATTAAAAAATGATTATATTCCGAATGAATTTGTTCAACTTAAAAAAAAAAAGCAATAAAAAATGTATTTTAAAAGCTCGTCTATTTCTGTAATGGCTTTAAAAGTACACGCCGTTCGTGTTCAGGTACTATTTAAAAAAAAGTATACCGTCAGTTTCATCAGTAAAGCCAAGTTAAGTGTGAGTAACAACAGTTAATGGACCAGCCCAGAGCCTAAACCTATGTGCTTCTATATCCACTCGTGACTTCTTAGAACACTGGTTCCCAACCTGGGGGTCGCGACCCCCCTGGGGGTCGCGAAGGCCTTTCTGGGGGGGGGGGGGGGTCGCCATCTGGCATAATAAACCTTAGTAATTAGAAACAAAACATAAATATTTAGAAGAATTTTTGAAATTCGGCTTCATTAACATCACTGGAGATGTAATAGAGAAGAAACAAAGCGCACTGTACAAAATTGTTCTCAGTCACGAGTTTATGAAATCTTCAAAACTAAAACGTCATTTGAGACGAGCGATTTGGAACACACCAAAAAAGATATGGAGTTCTTTCGTCGGTAAGAAGCTAGTTGCAAACGCCAGAGACTTGATCGAACAGGAAGTTTTCACTAGCATTAGTGCAAGCATCAAATGAAGTCGCGATAGAAAATGCCAATAAAAAAAACAATAGGAGAAAATCTCATCAAACGCTGCATGTACGAAAATGTTAAATAACACATTTTTATCGAAATTAAGCTTTCACCATTGTTTGCTTTTCAAGTTGATAAATCAACAGACGTGAGTTCGTGTTCGCAGTTTCTGGTCTGTGTCTATATTCATGCGGGTGATAGCAAAGAAGAGTTGCTCTTTTGTGAAGATAGCATGGCGAAAATAAATATCTTTTTTTTTAACTGGATGATTAAAATGGGTTAGAACGGTTGTGGGGGTTTGTACGGATGGTGCGCCATCTATGTTTAGCTCAAAATCGGGCTTTCAGAAAACAGAAAAGATTTAGCTCCCTAACCACTGCCCTAACCAATCGACATCAAGAGTCCATTGCTAGTATAAGTCGTAAATTATATAAAATCTGGAGCCTTCAAAGAACTAAGCAAAAACATTAATATAGATCACGAGGTTCTGCTCTTCTACACTACATTACGCTGGCTGTCAAACGAAATATTGTGCATTGTGTTTTTGAATTGAAATCTGAAATCAAATTGTTCTTGGAAGTGAAAAGGAAACAAGACTTTTTGGTATACTTAAAACAACATAGAGTGGTTGGAGAGAGTATCATACCTAGCAGATGTGTTCGAACTTCAAGATAAGCTTAACCTGAAGCTTCAGGGAAAATGAACGAATATTATAACTTTCCATGATAATATCGGGGCATTTTTATCAAAGCTGCAAAGTCGGTAAAGATAATAAATCTTGGAAATATTGTAAATTTGTGAAACTGCGGTGTGGTAGATGAATCTGATTGTGAGATAATTAAAATTTTGAAAGAAGCGATTTCTGGGCATCTTGAATCTCTTGAAAACGAACTGCATCGCTATTTCTCTGAGCTGAAAAAAGTAGAATCTGCGTTGACGCATTACCCATTCTCTTCTTCCCTTGATGTTGCTAGCATTCCCAATGATTTACAAGATGAATTCTTTGATTTGCAGAATGATTCCGAGTAAGATGAAAAACTGCAGACACAATTTTGGTGTAGTATTCACCATTCATACCCAAACGTAAAATTGATTGACTTTTCGAGAATATATTTTCAACACTATTCTTCGATTAAAAACAAAATTAAGATAATTATAATGACATAGGTTGGCGTTAACAAATTTTTTTTTAAATTAAAAATTTAACCACGAAGGTTTAGTGAATAGTATGCAATTTTACTCATGCTATTAAAACAGTTATCAAGAGTAGTTCATATTGAAAGTCTACTAGAAAATCTTATTTTCGTGCTTATTAATTTCCATACTAATTTCGACTTTTTAATTCTATGGGGGTCGCGGGTCACTTATTTTTTATAAAAGGGGGTCGCCACTCGAAAAAGGTTGGGAACCACTGTCTTAGAAGGAATCAGCAGCAGCAACAACAATACAAAAAAAAAAAACAACAAAAAAAAAAACAACACACAGGAGTAATACAGTTGCCGTTTTTGGAACGTAGTACCAAACATGAAAAAAAAAAAGTTTGAGCATTTCTAAAAAAAAATTATTGAAAAGAAAAATTTGTCAATGCTTAGGAAACAAGTTGAGTGGGCGGCTTCCTTCCCCAGCAAGATCCACCTTGGAGTTAACAGAACTAAGAAACGGGTAGAAACAAAAGCAAATATAGACCAGGTATCAGTGTGTAATGGAAGAAAAACAAAGACCCCAGCTCCGCCAGCACTTTAGACTAAACGTTGACAAAACCGGACTAAGCTGTACAAAGACAGACAGCATTGACCGAGGACTACAACAAGTCGCCATGTCCCTAGGGACGAGACACACAGACAAAACAATACGAGCTGCCGACATGTCATGGCAGTTATTTGTTCTTGTGGCTTGGCTTACCGGCTGTTTGTCAAACTATTAACCGAATAAGATGAGAAAGTGTGGGGGTGGCGGCGCGTCGCATTGGGGTGCATCTTGTGCATTTTGTAGGGTGCATTTTGTAAGGTGCATTTTGTAAAGTGCATTTTGTAGGGTGCATTCTGTAGGGTGCATTTTGTAGGGTGCATTTTTTAAGGTGCATTATGTGGAACCAGTTTGTGAGACGTGGATATCACTTAGCAGTTTTAAAAATAACATACACACGGTCAACAATAAATACGGGACATTTAACCTATGAAGTATTTACTCTTTTATGTGGTACAAAACAGCAGTGCTAACCCGAATATCTGAAATTATTTTCAGTAACACGCTGCGCTGTTTGCTGAAAAACAATGTGCGCACACAGCTTGGATGCTTTAGTCGGTGAAGGCAAAGTCTGTCGGGGAAGGCAAAGTCTGTCGGGGAAGGCAAAGTCTGTCAGGGAAGGCAAAGTCTGTCGGGGAAGGCAAACTCTGTCAGGGGAGGCAAAGTCTGTCAGGGGAGGCAAAGTCTGTCAGGGAAGGCAAAGTCTGTCAGGGAAGGCAAAGTCTGTCAGGGAAGGCAAAGTCTGTCGGGGAAGGCAAAGTCTGTCGGGGAAGGCAAACTCTGTCAGGGAAGGCAAAGTCTGTCGAGGAAGGCAAAGTCTGTCGGGGAAGATAAAGTCTGTCGGGGAAGGCAAAGTCTGTCGGGGAAGGCAAAGTCTGTCGGGGAAGGCAAAGTCTGTCGGGGAAGGCAAAGTCTGTCGGGGAAGGCAAAGTCTGTCAGGGAAGGCAAAGTCTGTCAGGGAAGGCAAAGTCTGTCGAGCAAAGGCGGGTCACAGAAAACCGTTTGAATAAAACTGATGAAACCTACTTTACCCTCCCTAATGTCAGTTTCGATAGGGTATTTTGCAAAATAAAAATATAAAAAAAAGTTTTCCTGATCATGCATGATTTACTGATAAAAAATGTGATTTATTTCCTTAGAGTACATTACATTCAAATAAAACACATAAATCATCATTTATTATTTAAAAGGAAAAATAAAATGATACGTCAAGTGGTAAAAGATGGGAAAACACCCCAGCAAGAAGCCATTAGGGTGTACATCATTAACATGGCCAACACTGCCACATTCTTTTTGTTTCATTAATTTACTTGAGCAAATGTATCGACAATTTAAAAAAAATGATCTTACAGATGGGGTGAAAGAAATATAATTAAACTTTTGGAAATCCGAAGAATAAAAAATAAACACCACGCAAAATTACAAATTACGCAATGGATCAGAAATTGGATGGAGTATAGATATTTTGTCTCCATCCCTGCCCCTGCCTGCAGTAATAGGCATTTTCTGCAGGAGACTACTTCATGTGGTACATAGTGCGACGTACTTATTTCATGAGATGCTAAATGCAGCATACATATTTCGACAGATGCACACTTCAGATACGCATTTCATGTGATAGAATATAGTGCATCATAGGCATTTCAAGTGGTATACTGTGCATTATAAGAATTGTTATGTTGCATAATGCGGTATACACTTTTAAAAACCTTATATCCTACACATTATGGGTAGATGTAGTATTACTAGTAAACGTTAAACCCTGCTCAAGATACCCGTTAAACCCCAACCCTATATGTGTGAAGCTTTAAACCCCAACCCTATGTATAATAACTGTTAAACCCCAACCCTATATGTGTGAGGCTTTAAACCCCAGCCCTATGTGTGATAACTGTTAAACCCCGACCATATATGTGTCAAGCTTTAAACCCCAGCCCTATGTGTGATAACTGTTAAACTCCGACCATCGATATACGAACCGTTAAACCCGGCTAAAGATGTACGAACCGTTAAACCCCGACCCTATATGTGTGAAGCTTTAAACCCCAGCCCTATGTGTGATAACTGTTAAACCTCAACCATCGATATACGAACTGTTATTCCCCGACCCTTGATGTAGGAACCGTTAAAGAAGAATCCTTATATGTAAAAACAGTTAAACCCCGACCCCATATACACGTACCGCTAAACCCCGACCCCCGGATATGTGAACCGTTTAACCATGCCGACGAGAGCTGCCACCCACGCAGTCACGTGACGGATATTGATCTACGATCTCTCTTTAACTGGACCCTCGAGGCGCCCCGTACGTTCATTCACAGGAAATTCTAGATCCACTACGGCTACTCGCAGGTAAGGGTTGCGGCACTTTGTTACTTTTTAACAATACATACAAAGGTTACGTTACGTTGCTAGTTTTTTTTACAGACAAAAGTGAACGATACTTAGATAGTTTTTTCACTGACAAAAGTTAGGGCAATTAAATAGTTTTACTAGTCAAAAGTTAACGATACTTTGCTAGTTTTATTAGACAAAGGTTAATGTAACTATGCTAGTTTGAATAGACAAAAGTTAGGCCACTTTGCTAGATTTTGTGCATGGAGGAAAAAATACTGCGAATACTGCTGTGTTTACCATACATTTATAGCCAACACTGTTAAAACGCCAATCTAAAAGTAAAAACTACTCGAAGCCTGGATAAAGAAACCGACAAAGTGAGAAATGCCTAAGTATTTTATAGAACGGCAATTTCACATCACGCAAAGTGTGAAATATCCATATCGGCGTGAGGTTTAATAACAAGGTATGTACAAATCAACGACTAAATACAAAATGAAAAATATAGATGTACAATGCTTTGAAACAAAATATGTTAAAAAAAAAAAAAGAAGAAAGAAAGAAACGAAAAAAGTCATGTTTATCCTAAACATTGTCATAACTATCAGGTAAGATTAGGATATGGATTAGAGGTGGGGTTCAGGGTAAGAAAAGTAAGTGACTGATAGCTTTCCTTTTGAGCTGGTCCGTTTCCTAGTCACAATCTCTTTCAGAGTATAATTGTAAACGTCAAGGAAAAATGAAAAGTTTAAGCAAGAGGGCGTATAAGAGTTTTTTTCATTTACATTGATTTCCGATGGCAATGCAATAATGTTTATTTCAATCTAAATAGGAGTTTTGAAAAATGTTTTTGCTCACTCGGATTTTTTTTTATAAAATGGAACCCCATGAGAAAAGTCTCGAATAATTCATTAAATATTTAAACAATCGGGTGTGATATTATCAAAATAAATATGATTTTAAAATTATTTGCTTTTTGTAGCATTTTGTTAAAGATTGAAAGTATTTGACTGAGTAATTTCGATAACTAAACAAAGTTATAAAAAAGGCAAAAACGATTGTTTTTCACGTGATAATGGAGACATAAACACAACCTTCCTGCTGTTTGACAGGTTAGCATAAATTACATGTGCAGTAAAGTAATATTTTTGTAATATTAATAGTAGCAATACTTAAAAAATATTGACCCGAAAGTATTTATATTTGATAGACAATTTATTAAAATTTGGCGGAAATTATTATGGATATATTTGTGTTTACTAAAACTTATTCTCAAAGTAAATTTTTGTTTACGCTCTTATATCATTTATTTAATTTGTTCTTATAAATGAGAGAGCTAAATAATTACAACAAGTTTTTTAAATCCACGTCAACAATAATGATCAAACCCATCTCTTCAAACCCATTGTTAAAGCCTTGTTGTATAAGGATGTCTTCGAAATTTTTAAAATTTGTGTTTAATATCTTAATATCTTGTGTTTATCTTAATATCGGAATGACCGTTACATCATTAACTTTATTTGTGTATGCATGTAACTATCACAATATACAGGTAGGTGGAAGCGTTGTGTGCGTGGTAGGCGGGGAGAGCATTGAATTAAAAGGGGAGGGGGTAATAATCCCCATCACGAGCAACATAGATTAGCATTAAATGGTCAACTGAAGCCGTGTTCACGCCTAGTTTTTGTCCAACAAGCCGCCAGCATCTGATACGGCCATTTTAGGATTTCATCTGGATAAAAACCTCAAATTGAAACGTTTTTCTCATTATCTCAATTAGCCGTGACAAAAAACAACTGTCATGTGAATCCGTTATTTGTTAGAGTCGAGTCATTGATATCACGCTGACAACGTGATCCTGTCAATTTGTTTGTGTGCGATAAGTCACGAATTTCACGCTGAAAACGTGAAACAGACCTTTAACTGATAGTGTCGAGTCAATATCACGCTGACAACGTGATCATGTCCAGTATCTGCTAGTGTCACGTCACGAAGTTCACGCTGAAAACGTAACAGGTAAATAAGAACTCAACTAGAAGCATTGATTGAATCAATCCATAGATACATTTAAAAAGATTGAATCACTCATCTAGAAAATAATTTCCCTCAGTCAAACGCAGACTTATTGCGTGATTCTTAAACTGGTCAAGAATCGTGCGTATCTTTAAACTGTGTAAGAATCGTTTATCATTCGATCGAGTATAAACCCCTGCATTATTCTAATGGATACAAATATATTCTATCAGAGTTCGACAACATATTACCATAAATCATTTAACAAAGTTAAACCGTAGTATAAAAACACTTGCAATATTCATCAGGGCTAAGTAATAAAAATGTGCATCAGTCGCTACGCCCACCTACACTCAATTATTAACGCGGCACAGCATCAATCGACATGAAAGTGGGCGAACAACGTGAAGATATTTTCCATACGATTTGCGAAAACTCAATTTGAATATAGATCTAAAGCTCTACACTTTTCCCCATAGTTTCATAAAACACGATCCCGTTTTTTATTTGGCCTGAGACTTAATGGTATCTTTTGTTCCCGCCCAGTGTATCAGTATGTACTCGTATCCAATAACTGTGCACTTGATCACCACCCAACCCCCGTGCCTTTGATCACCACCCAACCCCCGTGCCTTTGATCACCACCCAACCCCCGTGCACTTGATCACCACCCAACCCACGTGCCCTTGATCACCACCCTGTGTCCTTGATCACCACCCAACCCCCGTGCCCTTGATCACCACCCAACCCCCGTGCCCTTGATCACCACCCAACCCACGTGCCCTTGATCACCACCCTGTGTACTTGATCACCACCCAACCCCCGTGCCCTTGATCACCACCCAACCCCCGTGCACTTGTTCACCACCCAACCCACGTGCCCTTGATCACCACCCTGTGTCCTTGATCACCACCCAACCCCCGTGCCCTTGATCACCACCCAACCCCCGTGCACTTGTTCACCACCCAACCCACGTGCCCTTGATCACCACCCTGTGTCCTTGATCACCACCCAACCCCCGTGCATTTGATCACCACCCAACCCTCGTGCATTTGATCACCACCCAACCCTCGTGCATTTGATCACCACCCAACCCCCGTGCCCTTGATCACCACCCAACCCTCGTGCATTTGATCACCACCCAACCCTCGTGCATTTGATCACCACCCAACCCCGCGTGCCCTTGATCACCACCCTGTGTCCTTGATCACCACCCCGTGCCATTGATCACAACCCCCCTGTATCCTTAATCACCACCCAACCCCCGATGTTTTTTATCACCACCCAACCCCAATCACCACATTGCACTCGTTTACCCTTGCTGGACTAGACTCTGGATTAAACTCTCTACACATGAGGTGAAAACAATTTCTCTCCGGAAATTTGAAACACACAGTACCAGAAAGTTTTATTGGTAATGACCACGAACATGTACGGGTGCTATGACTCGCCAGGGTACTCTGAGGGTAATGACGTGTGCATCTAATTCAAAGACCTTTGGTAGGCTACACTGGCCTAACATTTAAATTCTAGAGTGGGTTGTGGTCTCGTTAATAGGGCTTGTAAGTAGGTCACAACTTTACGTTCTCGTACTTGCCAGCTAGTAGATTTCGAGACCGTAGACTTACAAGCCCTATATTGAACAATAATTATAATTCAAGTTGTTCAGTGTACAAATCACATGAGAAATAGGTAGAAATAAGTATGGCGATTAAATGGGTAGATGTCAGTTTCTCGATTAACTAATTCGAGACTAAAGATTCGGTAAACGTGCCAACTTTTCTAACGCTTTACAAACATCAGGTTTATGTCCCAGATTCTACTGTACCAGACCCCCAGATTACATTGTACCTTACAGGATAACCCCCCCTCCCCCCCCAGCTTCTTCTGTACCCGACAGGACCCCATATTCCACTGTACCTGATACTACCCTCAGATTCCATTGTATTAGAACCAAAGATTCCACTGTACCCGACATGACCCAAAGATTCCACTGTACCCGATATAACCCAAAGATTCCACTGTACCCGACATGACCCAAAGATTCCACTGTGCCCGACATGACCCAAAGATTCCACTGTACCCGACATAACCCAAAGATTCCACTGTACCCAACATAACCCAAACATTCCACTGTACCTGACCAGACCCAAAGATTCCACTGTACCCGATATAACCCAAAGATTCCACTGTACCCAACACGACCCAAAGATTCCACTGTACCCGATATAACCCAAATATTCAACTGTACTCGACATGACCCAAACATTCCACTGAACATAATGGGACCCCCAAATGAGAAACGAAATAGAAAAACGAAACCCATTGACATTAAAAAATAAACAGTTGCCATTATAAAGAGCATACACCCAACAACAAAAAAATGTCATTCAAAAACAGCATCGGTAAACTGTATTTTTAGACGTATTCTGAAGAATCTAATAAAGGAGTTACATTTTTTAATGCTGAAAGAACTTGAGCCAGTTCCTGTTTAAAAATTCTTCTAACATTCCGCCTCTTGTCTCTGACATTTGCCCAACGGGATTTGATCTCAGTGACATTCTACTGTGTCATTTGTGTAACAGACACCTGATGTTTTGTTTAGCATGTTCTTATGAAGGGGGAGGATGGGATCATCTTTTTCACCACGGCAAAGCTCCACATGGAGATAAGTGAAACTGAGTGCAGGATTGGGGGTATCATTGCTCCAAGCTAATAGATTGTCTGTGTTCGGGTTTCAAGATAAAATCTAGTTAAAGTAGTTTTTCAAGCCATACAAGAAGAAAACATGGCTTAGTAGTACGATTTGTGACATATTGTAAGTTATACATAACATAACTGTATCCCCTGTAAATAGTTAGTGGTGTCGTAGTTTAAGAATATACTGTAAAGCCGTATTTGACGCTCGCGTCATATAAAAAACATAAAACTCTCTTCGTAAAGATGCCTATAATATAACTATTAAGTAAAAACCCTAAGTACAAGAAAAACATTCCGGGAAT